GTTGGTAAGTTAGTGTGGTAACTATGCCACTCTCTGAGGCAAATGAGCTTGCAAGCTCAGATCTCTTATCTCCTAATGCATTCATATGTGTGCCTTAGCCAAAGTTCAGTTATTTTATTAAATTAGATTTATATTGTTTTCATTATTCTGTAATTTGACTTTTAATATTTGAAACTGCTAAACATTTATTAATATCAAGATATATCACTAGTTCAAACTAATTGGTGGGGAAGGGAAGGCATTTTTTTGGGTATTGGGGATTGAACTCAGGGGCACCCAACCACTGAGCCACATCCCCAGCCCTTTTTTGTATTTAGAGACAGGCCTCTTCTTGTTTTTATTTTTGTTGTATGTGTCCAGGATTTAGAAGAATTCTTGCTTAGCGCCTTGTCATTGCTGAGGCTGGCTTTGAACTCTTGATCCTCCTGCCTCAGCCTGCTGAGTCGCTGGAATTACAGGTGCGTGCCACTGCGCCTGGCAGGGAAGGCAGTTTGATAGAAGCATTTTCATAAACGTATGAAGTGAATTATAATTAGCACCATTTATATACCTGTAATGTAGTATATTAAAAAAAGTCCTTATGTTCAAGGCAGCTTTTGCACTATTAAAAAGTTACCTCACTTCTCATATATTCTGAAAAGATCTTGAATTCCAAGTAGTAGACTTACAAGTAATAAGGTATGGTGCCAGAATTTAGTGTATTTTCTTTTCCTGTGAATTTGAAGTTATACTATTAAAGTATAACATTTAAAGATTTTTATCTGATATATGGTTTGAAGAACTTTCTGTGCTCATGACTGGCTACTTCTTCCCAAGCTATGTGTAAATTAGTTCACTACTTTTGATTACTAAATAAGATAGATTAAAATGTGACTTTTATGTTCTCGTGGAAAATAATTTAGCCTGTTTTTTAATCACTAGGTTGTAATGCTGAGAGCAATGCTTATCCTTGAATAATCATCTGAGAAGGAATATTTTTGTTGTTTTGCATTTTAGTTTTTTTAAATTTTTTTTTAGTTGTAGATGGACACCTTAACTTTCTTTATTTTTATGTGTTGCTGAGGATTGAACCCAATGCATCAAACATGCAAGGTTAGCACTCTACCACTGAGCTACAACCCCAGCCCGCATTTTAGTTTATTATAATACAAATTCAGTTGTAGTTCACTGAGAGTCTCTAAGAGACACAGATCCAAAGCCAGGCATCATGGTGCATGTCTGTAATTCCAGCAACTTGGGAGACTGAGGCAGGAGGATCACGAGTTCAAGGCTAACCTGGACAACTTAGCAAGACCTTGTCTCAAAAAATTAAAAAGGTCTAAGGATGTGGCTCAGTGGTAGAGCAACCCACTGGGTTCAATTGTCTGTGCAAAAAAAAAAAAAAAAGGCTCCAGAGATTGTACTGTCAAGTACGCTTTTTTTCTGGGGGGTGGGGTAGTACTAGGGATTGAACTCAGGGAGCACTCAACCACTGAGCCACGTCCCCAGCCCTGGCATCTCACTGATTTGCTTAGTGCCTCGCTTTTCCTGAAGTCCCCAGCCCTTTTGTATTTTGTTTAGAGACAGGTTTTCACTGAGTTGCCTAGGGCCTTGCTAAGTTGCTAAGGCAGGCTTTGAACTTGTGGTCCTCCTGGCTCACATCCCATAACCGCTGGGATTACAGGTGTGTACTACCATGCCCAGTTCAAATATACTTTGAATTATCTGGAAAATAAACTTAGGCAGCCAGCTGGCTAATAACATATTTGCTGTGGTTTATGTTTTAATTCTGAGTTTAGGGCGTTTTTTGGTCAGGGACAGAGGACTCTTAACATAGGAAATAGTTGTTAGCAGAGGTCTACACTGAGAGCAAAAAAAGAGATCCTTGTTTGTGTGGGACCTTTCCCTCTAAAATTCCCTCCTAATGGTAGCTGGAAATATAAAGTCCAGATCCTGCAGTTCAAATGCCAAGTTCCTGGTTTGATTGAATTTGAGTTATTGACCTTCAGTGTACAACTAACTAGGGGCCAAGTTATAAAAATTAAGCTGTTCTGGGGGCTGGGGTTGTGGCTCACTTGTAGAGCACTCACCTAGCATGGGTGAGGGACTGAGTTCGATCTTTAGCACCACAAAAAGATAAATAAATAAAGGTATTGTGTCTATCTAAAACATTAAAAAATAAAAGCTGTTTCTGCTAGAGGTTTTAGTGTGATTTGCTTTATTATGTATATCTAGTTTCTTATATCCATTCCAGGTGCCTAATTTAGTAAGTTTTTGTTCCAACATTTGAAGGAATAAACAATATTAAGAGTTTTGTGGGGTGTGAAAGGATACGTAAGCGTAGACAGAAATCAAGGTTTTAATCGTTCTGGTTTCCCACTTGTATATATTACTTTTTTTCTGAATGTTGGTAGGCGGGTGACTTCCCAGGTGTCTGCCTAAAAAATCCAATTTATTTAAATATATTTCTCTGGTGTTGACTTCCTGGTAAGTATGTGGTGTGGAAATTACATTTCTTTGTGGTTTTAAAAATGAAGTGATTTTTATTAGAGTGCAAAAGTCAATTTGAAGTTTTGGAGATTTTTAATATATTACTTTAGGTTAACCATAAATCTTTATCTATTTTCTCTTTCTTAAAATAGTCTCCTTAAACTAACCTCACATCTTAATTCTTTTCTCTGATTTCTTACATAACAAAACATGAACTAAGGTGGTTTTTGGCTTTGTACTACACTGTCTTGAGTGTAACTGGACTATGGTAACCAGGGAAGACTGCTGCTCTCCCCCACCCCAGTGTGTGGGTGGGTGAGTGGGTGACAGATCCACACTGGAGTCTGGGGAATCATCAAGGGATTTGGCCTCTCCATCAGTGTTTTGGGGGAGGGTGAGCAAGCTGGGATGAGGGGTTTGTACAGAAGAAATTAAAGTTAATAAACAAAGGCCTCTTCTTGTTTTTATTTTTGTTGTATGTGTCCAGGATTTAGAAGAATTCTGCTTTAAGTTTTGCATCAATCATTTGACAGAAGTTACACAGACGGCAGCATTTTGGCAAATGGATGGTCCTCTGCTAAAGGAGTTCATTGCTAAAGCCAGTAAATGTGGAGCCTTTAAGAACTGAAGCCCAAGGCTGCTGGGGTTTGTGTGAGTGCTTTGGGGGCACTGTTGGTGATGTGTCCAGCTTGTGCTCTACGGGTGATGTGATTCTGCAGGTAAAACCCACCAGGTTGTTTTTATCACATCGGAAACAGTTCTCTGTAGGAATATATGAAGGATATTTGGCTTTTCCTGAGCCCATTTTAAACAACTTGTTTCCAGATATGTATATTTTAAATGTGACCTTTCTTATATTGGAGCTAGAACATTGTGAAAGGATGAAAGTTTAGCTTAAAGGAACTTTGAAAAAGGAAGTTGTTGAGAACTCTCTTGGTTCATATAGTACAACCCCTTAATATCAGGAGCTGTGATTGTGAAAAGAACACAGAGGCTCATCAGGAATTAACAGTGCTGACTAGCAGGGCAGGGGGCCGGGTAGGCGAAGTGCTGCTGTTAGTTGCCGGTCAGCACCTTACTGTAAAGGATGGTTAGAATTGTGTGAAAGTATGGTTGGTGTGTATTCACTATTGATGGCTTTTTAAACTTTAAGATATAACAAAAGAATATTCCATTTAACTTATTTAACGTTGAGTTAAATCTACTGAAGTAATTGAGTAAATTTCTAGGTTAACCAGGAGCAGTAATATAGAATTATCCATGAAAAATTAATGATGAAAGAATCTTTGTTTGGATAAAGGTGAATGTTTTATTAATTAGAGTCTCTACTACTTATCTCATGGTGTGTCACTATAGTAAGGATGAATTTGAAAAATGGGATTTAAATCACCCCTTCACCTTTTCCCCTATAAATGCTCACTCATAAGAAAAAAAAAATGACACATATTAATATACTCTTGCCTTCCTGCTAGAGCTGCTAAATCATCAGATCTGCTATTATGACTTGAAGAAGTGGTCTTAAAACCACCTTTCTTATAAGGAGTAATGGAATTTGCTTCATTTATTTTATCTAGGCCAAATTCTGTCACACACTGGCTTATTTGAAACTTCACCGTTTTTCAATTTGGGATTTTCCTCTTTTAATTGTGTTAGCTAATACTATTTAGCAGAATTGAATTTAAAGGGATCCCAAGATCATGTTTTTTTCAACAAAGATCCTATACACAAGTTAGAATTATTATCTTTTGGTCTGGTTATGAAATGTGACTCTGGGATATAACAGTGTTCACTTTTATCACATGTTCATTGAGCTTGCTTTAAGAACAAAACTTTGTTTAGCTCTCTGGTCCATGGACTCTTGTCCATTTGTGTGAATTCTCTTAGTTTCCTGCTTAGAGAGGACACTGTGAACTTAGCGCCTGAATTTGTTTTCAGAGCTACATTTGTAAGAGAGAAAATATGTTGCAGCTACTATTTTAGCACTGTTCTTAAATATGTGTATTAGGGTGAATGGAGAGTGAAGCTCCAAAGACAATTTTTTGATAGGCAAAATAAGTACAAACCTTAGAAGTCCCATCCCTTTTTTCTGGATCATATCACAAGTGACTGAAGCCCAGTAAATTAGTTAAAATTAGTTCTGCACCATGATAGAATTTTTCTTGCTATATTGATGAATGCACATTAATTTGGCTCTAATGGGTAGTATTTCTAACAGTTACTATTCTGTAGGATTATGGTTTGAACTAAATAAGAACTTCAGTATGTTTACTATTGCTTACTTGAAAAAAATTTCTTCAAAAAGCACAAGATGAAGTGGTAAATCCATATCCATAGATAGTTCATTCATTCAGCAAATATTTACCAAATTCCTAATACAGGTGAAGAACCACTTCTCAGATTACTAATTTGTATGAGTGTGTATGGTAGTGAAGAGAACATGTCCTTCAAAAAGTACTTGAGTATTTTTTTTAAATATACTCTTATTTTTCTACTACTTGGTTTTATTGTTAATCATAGCGGGAGATGGAAACTGTTCTTTAAATTGATTTTTATTTCATTTGATGTAATAATGGAAGCCAAAGTGTTCACATTTCTTAAAATATCCCTACTGTACTCTTGGACTTCTTACTGGAACAATGTTTGATACTCTAGTATACAAGTGGTATTTATGTAATGTTTAAAATGATATTAATAAAGTACTCTGATAAGGCAGGCATCTCTTAGAGTTGTTTTTCCCCATATAGAAGTCTGCAGTATGCAGCCTGGAGTAGGAAATTTTGATATGTGGGACATCATGGATTAACTTGGCTAACTGAAACAAGCCAGTCACAAAAAGATAAATCCTGTGTGATCGTATTCATAAGGTTCATACCTGGAATAGTCAGGTTCAGAGGAAGAAAGTGGAAGGGTAGTTGTCAGGAGCTGGGGAAAGGAGAATGAGTTGTTTGAGTACAGTTTTAGTTTTACAAGATGAGTTTTTTTTTTGATGAATGGTGGTTGACAGTTGTACAATATGAATTTATTTAATGTTACTGTATACTTAAAAATGGTTGAGATGGTAAATTTTCTTTTACAAATATTTTATCACAGTTTTAAAAAATCAGTAGTAAAATTCTTAGCTGGTAGAAGGCTAGAAATAAGAACTGTGAACATGTTCGTTCATTGCTTGATTCTCGTATCCACACAGAAATGCTAGAAACTTTATTCCTGTTGAAAGATAGTACAATTGAACTGTCATGTCTGAATCCTCTTGGGATGCTCATAAATGAAAGAATACCTCTTGCCAGGAGCACATAAATTTTTAGGGGAGGGGAGATAAGGTTAGGAATTAATGACACAATAAGATATGAATATTTTTTCATAAGAAAAAAAACCAAATAGGGTTGATATGACAAGCAGTTGTTCTGAACAAGGATGGTCTGTGCAGAAGAGGGGAAAATGGTGCTTTTAGCTCATTTCTAAAACAGGCATAAGTGGCGTGAGCAAATGCTTAAGAGGTTGGGGGCTAATGAACCTTCTAGAACTTACCATAAGCAAGTTTATTTGGTTAAAATGGAGATAATAAGCCAGTGACTATTAGTCAATAATTATCACCCAAATGCCAGGCACGGTGCCCTGTGCTTCATACCTTTTCTTATTTAGTGGTCACGTTTTGTCTCATGAAGTGAAATTAGGCTCAGATCTATTCAGTGATTTGATTACGGTGTTTTAGTAATGACAGGGTGGAAGCACCCTCAGGTCTGTTTTAGCAGTTGCTGACTTTATGACCCCCAAATATAGGATGCTCCATTGTGCCAAATGACCTACTGTGAGTGACAGATTAAATTTGAAAGTAGAGACAGTGCTTTTTAATAAAGATCATGACTTTAAAATCATTAGTCACATAAGCTTTGCTTTAAGATGTCATAGTGGGACAGGAAGCTAACATTAATCTCATCTAGACCAGGGGAAGTCTTTATTCAGCAAGGCTCAGATGGAATCTTGGCTTCTGCATTTTTAAAAGGTCCCCAGCTGATTCCAGTATGTAGCTAGATTTAAAACCACTGATTTATTTAGTCTTTTGTCCTTTAGGTAATGATTTGGACTAGACCTGCCATTAAAATGGGAATGGAGTGTCTTTTTCTGTCTATTTCATAATCTTTCTTCAATAGATGTTTTTGATTACTTATGCTTAGGGGACTCCATTCAAACCCATTTTGACATGCAGCATTGTAGTGATTCAGAGAACTTCAGTCCGGTGTGATGGCACACACCTGTAATCCCAGCCACCTGGGAGGCTGAGGTGGGAGGATTGCAGATTCAAGGTCAGCCTGGGTAAATTTTGCAAGACTGTCTCAGAAAAAAAAACGGTGTGTGTGTGTGTGTGTGTGTAGGGAACTGGGGCTGTGACTCTGAGCTAGACTGCTTGTCCAGCATGCATTAGCCCAGTATTTGCCCCCCACACCATCCTCCCCAAAAAAGGTCAGGGGATTTAGAACCATAAATGGGAGAATGACAGCAGTCAGTGGTGGTATGGGCACAAAAATCTGAATTGTGTATTGTTAGACTGAAAAAAACTTTTTAACTATTATTTTTCTTCATTCTTATATATTCCCACTTCTGTTCTTAGTAATAGCCTCACTTTATAGATTTTGGTGTTTCAAAAATGATAAATGGTCAGGGGGGAATGGGGGAAGAGGGAAGGATGGGAATGGGAAAGACAGTAGAATGAACTGGACATAACTTTCCTATGTTCACATGTGAATACACGACGAGTATGACTCCACATCATGCACAACCACAAGAATGGCAGTTACACTCCATGTATGTGTGATATGTCAAAATATATGCTACTGTCACGAATAACTAAAAAGAACAAATTTAAAAGGAGATGATAAAATGGTCATATAATAACTGGCTGAAAAGAGATTTCTAAAAAGCAGACTGACATGAAGACAGGTAAATCTGGTATAAGTGGTACATACATATCTATTACTATCTGAGAGCCATTATGGGCTGAAACTAGTCTCAAAAATTATGGATTTTGATGCATTTATTGTACCAATGTTTCTTGAGCAGACTAAGTGCTGGGAATATGACAGTGAGCAAAACAGCAGGATAATGGTGAGAAACCACAGAAATCATTTCTGCTATCAGAGATCCTATACTCTCATGGTGTGAAGTGAGATGTAGCTAAACTAGGAAGTAGTATGAAGGAAAAGTAATCTCAGTATAAGTGGAAAACTGTTATGAGTCCCATCCAGTGGGCAAAAAGCCAATCAGCAAGAGCTTAAGAGCTGGTGGGGATATAGTCTGGGCCCCAGAGAGGGATGGGCTGAAGGTGTGTGGCTCTTGGGCTGGGTTTCTGGTTTAGGGGCTACTTGCAGTTTCACGTGACCACTGGCTTAAGAAATGGTGGTCTTTAGGAAGACAGACAGGATTCTGAAGTGGAACTTGACCTGAGGTCTCTGTTTTCTTGAAAAGAGCACAAGGTTTGTTTTAAATCCTGAAGTAGCTCAATGTCTTCCTTCAGCTGCTGCCGCATTTCTTCAGATTCATGAATTTTATTCTCTATTGCTTTGAAAAGAAGAATAAAGTGACTTTAGATTATTCAGTGGTTTCATGAGAAATAATGTGCTGTTTCTAGCCTCTTTCACTTGCAAGTACGTAGTCCACAATGCTTGTGCCTTGAGTGAAAAGACTAGAGTATTGTGAGTAGAAACTGGTTTCTTTCTGACGGCTTCCTCTTCTCATTCAGGATGGGATTCCAGCATTTATCACACATAAAGCTGGTAAGTCTAAGATTTTTATGAGTTTGTGGCAGAAAAAAATCCCTATTGTTTATCTTTGAAAACTTGAACATTTATATAACCCTCATGCTATGCTATGTGCATTTGTTGAAAGTTGATAATTGGAGAGAGAATGTGGCTAGAACAAGGATATGGGCAAATCTTTCATAAAGATGCATCCAATATTTAATGTTATATAAAAGCTTTTTGTTTTAGAAGTAGATTTTTATTGTGGAGTAAGAAGATGCTTTTTCATAAGGCTTTATAAATAAGGCAATATAATTTTAAAAGCCTTAAAATTTGTTTTAAAATACATCATCTTCAGAACAACCACACACCTGCAATTAACTCTATACATTATTAAGGCTAAATTAAGCTAGAGAATATCAAGTGTGGTGTCAAAGTTCAGCCTTTTCAGCTGGTTCTCATGCAGTTCCAAGTCTCCTGGTGCCCTGCATCCCTGCACGGCACTATAACAGATGGACTCCCAACCATCCCACCCAGTGTGACAACTGACAGGCTCTAAACATGTAACTATGTCATATGAAAGAGTAAGATAAGTCTCCCATAAAAAGATTGTTAGAAGATTTTAAAGGCTACCTTAAATAAAAAAGAGAGATACTCTTATTTAGCAGACTGAAAGATATTATTTGGGGTAAGTTAAAAAAATTTGTTTCTGTTGCTTATAAATGTAGTAAGACTACAAATAGAAATGTATAATGTAAAACCCAAGTGTGAAAGTTGTGTATGTTTAGATAGGGATATGAACTATGTTTTCTCAAGGAAAACCTAGTGTCTTAGGACCATTTCCTGACAAAAACATCTATAGGGCGCTGTCTTGTGCAGGGTCAGAGGCAGCCATTCACATCAAGTTACCTGAGAATCTGATCCCCCACTCCTCCCTGGGAGGTGCCTTGCACCACCTGCTTCCTGTGTGCAGCGGCCTTGACAAAGGTCAGATCACAATCATAAGTAGAAAGCCTTGAAGGCTTGAGCTTTCAGTCTGTGAGCAAGACTCAACAAGTGATTGGTCTGCCTCCTTTCAACTGAAATACCCTGAGTTTCTCTTCTACAAAAACATCTTGACTATTCTTTCTTTCTTTAATATATATATTTTAGTTGTAGGTGGACACAATGTTTTATTTTTATGTGGTGCTGAGGATGTCTCACACATGCTAGGTGAGTGCTCTACCACTGAGCCACAACTCCAGCCCCTCTAATTTTTTCTTATGAACTTTAGAATTATCCACAATGCCCCTCATAAGATATTAGATTTGAAGAGATTATATTTGTTGGGAGAACTAAACCTGACTTTTTTTTTTTTTTTTTTTTAACTGGGGATTGAACCCATGGGCGCTTAACCACTGAGTCACATCCCCAACCCCCGTGTTTTTATATTTTATTTAGAGATAGGGTCTTGCTAAGTTGCTTAGGCTCTCACTAAATTGCTGAGGCTGGCCTTAAAACTCATGATCCTCCAGCCTTAACCTCCTGAGCTGCTGGGATTATAGGTGTGTGCCATTGCGCCACACACCTATAAGGCCTGTTGTTTCCTTTATAATGAGTTTCTTCTCATTAAACCCTAAAGTATTTGTATATAGGAAATTTGGAAAATTCAGCATTAAAAGAACAGACAAAAGAAATGACTACAATCCAATACCTATAAGAAACTGCTCTTTTTACTGAGTGCTGTTTTCCTGTGTGTCTATATATGTGTATATATATATATATATATATATATATATATATTTATGTTTTTTTCTTCTGTGCCTGTCATACTGTTTTTGTAATGGGCTGTGCTATTTTCATTTAATAAAACAACATTCTTAAATGAATTTTATTACCTGTATAGCATCATACTATTTCAATCTATAAAAGTTTTTGTAACTCACATACCTGCTTGAAAATTTACAAATGTGTCTTCAAACAATCTACAGTCAAAAAGTGAAGTCCCAATTTCTTCATACTCTGGAGAGAGAAAAACATTTTCAGTATTAATTTTAAATAATTCATGTGTGCAGTTACACTTCAGAAAATAACCCAAAACAGGAGTAAACAGAACAGTCTTCTATTGTGGAACTTGTTGGAAATGTAGAATCAAAACCTGGGGTGGGCAGCTCTCTGTGCTTTAACAAGTCCTCCACATTGATTTTAAAGCAAAAAAAGTTTTGAGAAGTGCTTGGTCTAGAGAAAATATTAGTTTTAATTTTTTAATCTTGTCCTATAGAACATATTCTTTAAAATAAGTATATATTTTACATTGCTGCCTATAATAGATAAAGCTTTCCTTTATGAAATATCTTTAGTCTGAGCTTACAAATTTTATTCTACAGGTGTTAAGAAAGCTAAGAAACTATGTATTTATACCTTACAAATGGAACTTCAGTTTTCCCAAGAGTTCTTAACTTAAGAAAGTTTGTATTTAACTAAAACACACATTGATCAAAACATTTAAATTTCTTCCATACATTAAATTTTGAGTAAACATTTTTTATAGAGGGCACTTGGTTTATTTAGGAAACAACTTGAGTTACATCAGAACTGTAACCTAACTGTGCTCAGCACTTAAATTCAGGTGCACAGGGGGCCACCATGGGGCCACCTTGGCTCTAAATGCGCCCACACACCTGTGTGCACTCATGGGAACTACATCACAACTCTTAGGGCATTTGAATTAAACTACTGAGTTTATCTACATTCTGTTGATTTATAATAGACAGTAGACCTTATACACAACAATTTTTATTAATGCAAAGGGAAAATGTTTCTTTCCTTATTTCACCTGTTTTACATCTAGGTCTGTGAAAAGTCTCTGTACTGGGAAATTTAGTACCTGATTCTGAAGTAGTTTCATCCATGAGTCTTTCTTGAATCAAATGAAGTTTATCTAATATTTCTTCAAATAAGTCATTAAGAAGTCCTGCTTCCTTACATTTCTTAAGAAAAGGTGTTTTCACAATTGCATCTAATAAGGAAAACATTATTATAAGTAATGGTCTTATAGGGCAGCTAATCATACCACTTTATGGTTACTAATTCAAACCTTGCCTAGTGGCTGATGAACATAATTAGTAAGTAACACACAACACCTTTATCAGTGAATGAAATGTTATAAGAGAAAACTTTGCTTATAATAACTACCTGCCTTTTTTTTTGTCAATTAATATGTCACTTTCCTTACTAGCTAATGATTTTTTTTAATGGATCTTTATTTTACTTATTTATACACAGTGCTGAGAATTGAACCCAGTGCTGAGAATTGAACCCAGTGCCTCACACATGCTAGGCAAGCACTCCACCTCTGAGCTACAACCCCAGCCCTTCGTCTACAAAACTCCTTATTTTATAAGAAATAGTGTGTAGGGTGGCACATTACTGGGTTCTGAGCTCAGGCAAGACTAGCTTCTTTATTAGGAAGTGTATCCTCATATTGAGAAGCAACACCCAATCCAACCCAACTTATTTACATGGTGGGGTGCTAATGCACTAAACGGCTGAAATACCGAAGAGTCAACATTTTTACAAGTACTGGAGGCTGTGTTATAGCTGTCGCTGAGCACTAACCTGGGTAGCCGCTGTTCTTTTCTTTCATTGGTTTTATGAATCTATTGAACGTTGTCGTCTCGGGTTGCTAAAGGGAGAGAAAAATCAAGATTGTACTGTTGGCATTTAATATATAAAAGCCAATCCACTGTGTATAATTAAATGCATTTTAATGGGAAACCATGCCTTATATTCTTATGTAGATTTTTTTTAAGTTATTTTAGTTGTAGATGGACACAATACCTTTTTTATTTTTTATATGGTGCCGAGGATTGAATCCAGTACCTCACATGTGTTAGGTGAGCACTCTACCACTGAGCCACAACCTCAGCCCTTCATATGTAGATATTTTACTTATAAAACAAGGTATTTGAGAAATGTGTTAAAACCCAGGGACCCTTAACCACTGAGTCTTGTCCCCAGCTTTTTTGATTTTTTTGCGATGGGGTCTTGCTAAGTTTCTGAGGCTGGGGGAGAAACATTTGTTTTTTGAGATAGTTATGCTGCCCAAGCTGACCTTGAGCTCCTGGGTGCAAGTAATTTTCCCGTCTCAACCTCCTGAGTAGCTGGGACTACAGGCAAGCCACCTCACCAGCTTGAGAAACACCTCTTGAATAATAGCAAGTAGTAGAGGCTGCTGGCTCATATTAATTTGGCTTATATGAGCTGATGTTAATACTAGTTAAAATCCTGTAAGTATTTCATATACTTTATAGTCTAGAAAATTATGAGAATTACAAACAAGGTTACATTGGATCATGTAGCTGGGAAATATTGACTGTACCAGTGCTCAGCTATATCTTCAGCTCATGTAAGGACCTAAGCACTCTATAGTCAGATGTTCTAACTTGGTGTTAGGGGATGCTTTACAGAAGCTGTGGGAATAATGTCTCCTTCAGAACTTCCAGCTTCTCCTTACTAATTTCATCATTAAGAATTATCTAAAAGTTTCCTGAATAAGGGATTCTTCCCAAAAGGGAATCCTCAGGCGCAATCTCAGGTTTATCTAGTCAGACAACTCAAAGGAAGCTGCTGTCTATTCCAGTGAGTTGGAAAGTACATTTCACCTGAAATTCAGAATGGTTTAAATAAGGACACTGTTTAAAGAAATTTAAAGCTGTAAGAAAATTTAAGTTAAATTACCGGTACATGAATGCCTGTTGGGAGTCTTTTCTTCCTTCCTCGTTTTCTTTTTACTCCATCAGCTAAAAATATAAATCACTTAAGTTGGAATACATAAAGGAAAAGATTGACTACATATAAAATTCGGAAAAGCCAGAAGTTGTTACAAAGTCAAAAGATCCAGCAAACAGACTAAGCATTTTCAACACACAGAATAAAGGGCTTTTTTTAATATTTATTTTTTAGTTATAGGTGGACACAATGTCTTTATTTTTATGTGGTGCTGAGGATCGAACCCGGTGCCTCACACTTGCCAGGCGAGCACTCTACCTCTGAGCCACAACCCCAACTCCTAAAGGGCTAATTTTTAAAATATAAAATCATCTTAGTGAATATGAAAAGGAAATAATTGATAGTAAAACTGGTATATGGAGAACTCTTCAGGAAGCAGAATCACTGAATAGAAAAGTGAATAAAGTAGGTCATAGAAAACAACTGGTGAGGGGCTGGGATAGTGGCTCAGCGGTAGAGCGCTCACCTAGCATGCTTGGGGCCCTGGGTTCGATCCTCAGCACCATATAAAAGTGAATGGAATAAAGGTATTGAGTAAAAAAAAAAAAATGGTGAAAAGATATACAAAGTAAAAAGTTTTCACATATCAGACTGATAAAGATGTTTAATATACAATATTTGCAGTGATTTGGGTAACTGTACCACAGATGTAATCTCTATGGAAGATAATTAGCCACAAGTTATCCAGAGTTTGTTTAATATTCTTTGAATCAGTAATTTTACTTTACAGTGTAGTTTATGTGGAGGCAAAGATGTATGGGGAACAAGGTTAACCATGGTATTAAATGTAGTAGAAAATATTAAATACTATTAAATGTAGTAGGAAATAACCTACATGTCCATCAAGCAGAGAATAGTTCTATTGTACGGCTGTCTCATGGAGTACTGTGCATAAGCACAAGTGTATAAGCTTATGCAGAAGGATCTTGAAAGTATAGCAAATGAAAAAAGCAATATATATTAGTGGTATGTTTACACAAACATTCTTTGGAAGAATTCAAAAGAACAAGTGTTTCCTCTGAGGAAAGGACTCATTTACATCCTCTTTTTTGTGGTGCCAGGTATGGAACCCAAGGCCTTGTACATGTCAAGCATACACTGTACCACTGACCTACACCAATAGCCCAAGATTATCTGCTTTTTTTTTTAGTTGATACGCCTTTATTTTATTAATTTATTTATATGCCGTGCTGAGGACCGAACCCAGAGCCTCACACAGGTGAGGCAAGCGTTCTACCACTGAGCCACAACCCCAGCCCCACATTATGTTTTTTAAAACTTACTGTTCTCTGTCAGTAAACACTGATTAAGAGCAATCTCTTTATGGCATTTCCTCAGTTAAAAGGGTAATGACTGAAAAATAAGGGTAGAGATACTGTTCAGAGAGTACCTTTTGCCCCCATAAAATGCAGTGGCACGACACAGAACTAAGTCTTTTCCAGAGAGGTCCTGACTCCGGGTCACGGCGAACCTTCTGGATTTAGTACTGGTAAAACACTGGTGTACTGAAAGTACACTGAAGGCACTCATGAATGAATGTACGTCCCATAACTCCAGATAGTCAGGATCTGTTCTACCTTAATTAAAATGAAATGCTAACCATGCATTTTTGGGAAGTTTTTATTCAGGGAGTATATGACACCTTACTAATTTTACCTACTGAAAATTCTAATATTCTTACAGGAAAGTAGTAGTCACAAAAGCCAAAACTTTTTACGGTGTCTAGTTTGGTCTTATCAGTATGGTGAGAACTGCCAGAATAGGTCTAATTCACCATTAAAAAAAAAACTAGTCAAGCTAGGCATGGTGGCACACTTTAACCCCAATGAGTTGGAAGGCTGAGAGGAGGATCAAAGTTCAAGGCTAGCTTCAACAACTTAGTGAGGCCCTAAGCAACTCAGTAAGACCCTGTCTTAAAGGCCGGAGATGTAGTTCAGTGGTAGAGCAAGCCTAGATTCAATGTCATATCACATTGTCCACAGAGAAACTGACAAATTTTATAGGTATGTACAATTTTGACTCAAAAATTTGTATTTTAATTCAGTGAAGCAAGTAAATGACTATTCCATATCTTACATAAATGTTTGGTTTTCTTTAAACCCACAATACTGAGATTGTAGAGACTTACCACTCTGAGCATTGGTTGGTGATCTGGGAGCATGATGTTGGCATAACACCCTGAAAATATGCAATTCCAAAGAATCATTAAATCTTTTAATAAACAGTTTTCAAATACAATATCAATTTCCTTGTGATTTTAAAAGGTACTAATTTTTCATAACTGCTACTCTTTAAGTATTAACTTTTTAAAATATTTATTTTCTAGTTATACATGGACACAGTATCTTATTTTTATGTGGTACTGAGGATTGAACCCAGTGCCTTAAGTATGCTAGGCAAGTGCTCTACCTCTGAGCCCCTTCAGTGTTAACTTTTAAAGAGAAATGCTAAACCAGTGTAAAATTAACCCACATCAAGTGCGGATGAGTCTGTTAGATATCTTCTCTGCCCTCTGAATCTTAAAAAGGTTATGTTCTCTGAAGGAGTAGTTGAAGTCTTCGAACAGTACTGGTTCATACTAGTGGTTAGGGGCATTTGACTATACAAAGATACCTAAAGATCCAAAATCTTCTAAGACATGAAAATTTCCACAAGACTACACAAAGCTTGATTTTCAACAATAGCACAAAAGTGCACACATTAATTTATGAAAAATTAATGGCAGATTTCCAGATCTTATATCTACCCTACTAGAGATGAAGTGAGAACTGTGCAGATCCTGTTTTCTTCCTGCATTTCTTCTGTCTAAGTTGCAGCTACTTCTCCCTTCTTTTCCTATTGAGGCTGATGGTCAGGATGCCGTGCTTCCTCCCATCTTCCACCAGGTCCCACCTCCTCTATGCCACCTTCCCAGCAATACCCCAGCTAGCCCCTCACTTCCCTGCTTTAGGTTCTGGTAATCTCTGAGAACTTTCATTTCCCAAGTACTCAAGTTTCTTCCAAGCACATTTTTCATTGACTTAATTCATTAGCTCTAATATAAGATCAGTATGTTTTCCCCAACTTTTTAAGAGAGTCATGACTTCAATTGCTTTTATTTTGATCTTATGTTCAAAGTCTTTGTAAAAAAGTTATATAAAACGGGCCCTTTGTAAAGGTTAAAAAAAAAAAGTGAAATCTGAGCACAACCTATGAGTTTCTTAGCAAATTGAATATTTAAAAAAAAAAGTACAAAGTTGAGCTGAGCTGTAGCGCATGCCTGTTACCCAGTGGCTCAGGAGGATTGTGAGTTCAAAGCCAGCCTGAGCAATTTAATGAGGCATCTGGCAACTCAGTGAGACTCTGTCTCTAAATAAAAAATATATATTAAAAAAATGTCTGGGGCTGTGGCTCAGTGGTTCAGCGCTTGCCTAGCATGTGTGAGGCACTGGGTTCGATCCTCAACACCACATAAAAATAAATAAAGGTATTGTGTCCATCTACAACTAAAAAAAAAAAAAAAACCTTAAAAAAAAAAAAAAGTACAGGGGCTGTGGCTTAGTGGTAGAGCGCTTGCCTCTCATGCGTGGGGCACTGGGTTTAATCCCTAGCATCACATAAATTAATAAGATATTGTATCCATCTACAACTAAAAAAATAAAAAGTACAGTCCTAATGTCTCAAGCGACAAATGTAACTTGCTCAGACTCATTTAAAATTATTTTGGAAACTTCTTTTAATGGCAGGCTTACCCACATTGTTTTAGAAGATATGGCCTCTAAATCTGAAGATGAACTGGTGTGGTAGAGAGCAAGGAACTCAGGATCCCTGACACCCAGCTCTGCCACTTATCAACTGTGTGATCCAAGGAAAGTTCCTAAGTGGCCCCGTGCTTTATCTGTAAATAGGGATAATAGTGGCTACCTCCCTGGACTGACTGACATAACATTAGTATAGCACTTTGGGTTTGTGTGGCAAAAAGTGGTTATTAAATAAGTTAATAAAAGTGCCTGGGACACTTAGGTAAGGGGATCCTACTCAGATCTGAGTAGCATTTTTAAAAAAAATCACTTTATGAACAAATCTTACAAAAACTTTTAAAAAATGCTCTCATAACACCAATCCTATTACTCAGGACAGGTAGCTATTTACTGGTATAACAGTGGAAATTACATTTATTCCACATACAAGACTGGAGACATCAATTGATGAGCCTGTGGCTATATAAGTAAAAAACTACTTCCTGTGTCAGAAAAGAACAGCTTTGAACTGGTCCCTATTTCCTGCTTCCCTTTAGGCCACTCATATCACTATCACAAATGATGCTTTTTACCAGGAAGGACAGGATGCAGGGAAACTTATAAAAGCAAAACTAAACCTTGTATTGTTTTTCTGTGATACTGAGAAAAGGTGTTATAAAGTTTGGTTCCCCACTGGGTATCCCCCTGTCTTGTCATTTGAAAGTCAGTTACATAAATTTAGCTTTTAAAGTCTCTGTCTTAATTTTCCTATTCCTATCCCAATCCCCCAAACGTAGGTTTAAAACTGTTGTGTTAAATACTTATAAATCCCTCGAGCTCCATCAGCCTGTGGAAATGCGTTGTCCTTTCTGGCACAGAAAAAGTGGTAGTTCTTGGCACAAGTTTTTAAGTCACATCCCACGGTGGCTCCTCTTTCATGACACAATGTGCATTTCTACAGAAGAATAGGTTTTACTAAATAAGATCCAGTTTTTCATAATCTTTGTTAAAATTTAAAAATATCATTAGATGTTATTTAAGCCAGCAGTCCTATATTTTTATCCTGGACATCATTGGTAAAGTTTCATCCTTCTTACAAACATTAGATACGATTTACATTTGGCTGCTCACTTGAAAATTTCAGCAAAACCTCAACTAGTGAATGCTTGGCCTGGACTGTTCCATAATGATCCCATTAAAAGCAGAAAATGCTTTTTGTTTTAAAAATCAATGCCTTTTTAAAAGAGATTTTAAAAAATCAGAGTTGGCAAACTTATCCAGCTCGAGGAAGCTACTGGTCTGAAGGGTATAGGAACCTGAGACAAGAGCAGCTCCTGGCGGCCTGCCTGGAATCCCAGGTAGTCATGAGGCTGAGGCAAGAGGATCCATGTTCAATAACAGCTAGTCACTTCTCTTAGATTCCTTTCTGGGGTAACATTAACTGTCTATAGGGTTGCTATTGAGGATAACGTGAGATAAAATAAAGGAAACTTCTTTGGAATCTATGTAGTAGAGATTCCCCCCAAAAAACAAACCAAAAACCCCAATTGAGCCATGTTTTTCTTAGTTTAGCTTATCTGATCCCTTGCTTTTATTTCTCGATCTGGTGTTTTATTGAAGGTGGTGTAGAGATGGTTAGGCAGACACTGTGTGGCCCCAGAAACCTGAGTGGTTTAGGGAATCCAGCTATGACAAAGGCTGATTAGGATCATCTTCTGGCTGAATGACTGGTGGCCCAGTAAGACCATCTTGCAAAACAGATGGCTCACACCATTCCCCAACATCAGCACAAGCAAACGTGTAAATAAAGACAGTTCAAATGTAGGTGAGAAATAAGATTAAGATAAAAGGTGGGATTCCAAGTCAGACCATAAAAGAATGAAAATTTAATTGGGGGGACCAAAAACCCTCCCAAATAAATTTTAAATGGATTAAAACTCTAACTATGAAAGCAAATTAGGAAATAAAGGGGAAAGAAAAAAAGGATGGTGTGTGGTAAAGGAAGGCTGTCTAAGGAAGGTAGAAAACCCAGAAGCCACAACGAAAAAGACAGATCTGACTATATAAAAAATTTAAACTTTCATATTTATGGTGACATATACTATTTGAAAAATTTAAGACAAGGAAAAAGATGGAAAGAAAAATGTTTGCAGCCAGATGCGGTGGTTCACACCTGTAATCCCAGTGGCTCGGGAGCCTCAGGCAGGAGAATTCAAAGTTCAAAGCTGACCCCAGCAATTTAGCAAGGCCCTAAGTAACTAGCAAGTCCCTACTCAAAAAATAAAAAGGGCTGGGGATGTGGAGCAGTGGTAGAGCACCCTGGTTTTAATCCTTAGTACCAAAAAAAAAAAACCCCAACAACAAAAAAATGTTCGAACAATATTAGATACAGGGTTAAGATAATCCACAGGAAAATGGTAACAGGCAAATTCCAAAAGAAATACAAATGGCAATAAACATTTATTTGCTTAAAGTCTTTACAGATGTACAGTATTTATTGTAGCTCTGATGTGGCAGACATTGTTGAAGGATAAGGGGTAAGACAGTGGATTAACTAGAAGGTACTGTCCCCATGAAGTGTATATTCTAGTGAGGAGGGGGTACAATGATTAAATAAAGCAAATTTAAAAACATCTCATGGTGGAATGGGGATGTAGCTCAGTGGTAGAGTGCTACAGTGCCTGTCTAGCATGTGAAAGGGTTAGATCCATGGCACTGCAAAAACCCCCAAACAAAAATATAAAAACACCTCACAGAAGGGTTTATGCATTGTATCTAACTAAAATAAGACAAATGACAGTGTCATTGGGTCCCTACTTCAGATTGGGTGGTCAGTAAAGTATCACCTAAGGTGGTGATAGAGAAGGTTGGAATAATAAGAGCTCCTGGCCTGCAAGAAAGCAGGGAGAAAGATAGTCTAAGCAGAGGCACTTCATCCTTGTGGCAAGAATGAGCCTCCTAATGGGCAAGCTCACCAGAAAGGCAAAAAGAGGAAGGCCTCTTGTTACAGCAGGTGAGTGGGGGGAGAGTCTCATAAGGGCAGGGTCATGGAGGGCTTACAAGCCAGAGTACAGCAAAGTAATTTTATCTTTGTTTAAGGGGAACATAAACTGACCAATATTTTTAAGAGATCAATCTGCTGTATGGAGAATGAGCCGAGTAGGATGGCAGGAAGAAATCAGGGTATCGGCAATCTTCAGCCACCTTTGAGAGAGCTAGACCAGTGATTTCAGTGGATTAATGATGCCAAGACAGAAGTGGGTAGACAGTGCAGTATGTCTAGGAGGATTGCTAATGCTAATGGGCTTGATGTTGTGCAGGGATGTGATGAGGGAGAGATCATTCTTAGACTTCTGCTTTGGGTAATGGATGAATCGCGGTGCTACTTATTGGGGTGAAGAAGGAATAGATTTGGATGGGGTGGATTGTGTTATCAAACTTAATATAAGATGCTTTTGTTATCTATGGAGATGTGTCAGGTTAGTAGACTGGAATTCTAATGAGGGGACAGGGCTGGAGATACACAGCCAGGGCATGGGGGAAGAAGTAGCCTGAAAAGTAGAAGACACCTTGTGTGTGTATGTGTGTGTGTGTGTGTGTGTTCAGAAAGGCAAAAGAGCCAGGTGCAATGGTGCATGCCTGTAATCCCAGCATTCAGGAGGCTGAAGCAGAAGGATCACAAGTTCTAGGCCAGCCTCAGCAACTTAGCAAGGCCCTAGGCAACTTACTGAGATTCTGTCTCAAAATAAAAAATAAAAAGGGCTGGGCATGTGGCTCAGTGGTTAAGTGCCCCTGGGTTCAATTCCCGGTTCGATTCCTGCCCCCCACACCCCACCAAAAAAAAAAAAAGAGGGTACTTCAAGACACAGGGTGTGGACAACTGGGTGAATACAGCTGAGAGGTTAAATAAGGGTAATCGTCAACTTGGGGTTGGGAGGTTGGAGCAAGGAGACGTTTTAAAGAGAGATGACAGGATGTGAAACAGGAAATGTATAGGGTGGAGGGTGAAGCAAACATACAAGCGAAGTGATGAGGAACCTTCTGATATTTGCAGCCATGAATCTAAGTCAGTCACTATATTTGTGGGTTTTCTCCATCTCTTCAACTGCTCAAGTGCTGGTGCTACTAGGTTTATGCAGACAACAGACAGGTTTACCCAAGGATGGGACTTTGCCAGGTGAACAAGGAAGTGGTGCAGGGGGGTGGTGGGAGAGGGTGTTTGGGGTCTGGAAGACACTGCAGAGGTGGGCCATGGTGATGAGGTGTGGCCACAGATTGCAAAAGGAAGAACTGTCAGGGGAGAGTAATGAGACGGGTGGCAGAGGCCCAAAGAGAAATAATGTTCAACCTCTCCAGTAACCAGAGAGCTGTGAAATGAAGTTTTCTATACTTGGCAAAAATAAACAAGAATAGTGACACTCATTTTTGTCAAACTTTCTTTGACCATTTTGTCAGTTCATATCCAGCAAGAGAAAGGTCATCCCCACACATGGAATAAGAGGCCTTCTTTCATCCTCTATACAAAGAAGTATAAATCAGTACAACCTTTCCCAAGGGACGGTTTGTCAGCACAGTTCTTTTTTTTTTTTTTTAAGTTATACATGGACACAATATCTTTAATTTGTATATTCATTTTTATGTGGTGCTGGAGATTGAATCCTGTGCCTCACATGTGTGAGGCAAGCGCTCTGCCACTGAGCCCCAGCCCACAGTTCAACATTTTTACAGGAAATTCTGACTCAGCAATGTCATTTCTAGGAGTCTGCACTACAGATATGCTCAAGCAAGCACACAAGGATATATATGCAAAGATGTTTGTTGCAGCATTACTTACTATGGTGAAAACTCAGTATAGATTCATTATTTTATTTAACAAGGGAACAATTTTATGACTTATGGCACACTTTATAGAAATCCAGGGGTTTAGTAAAGAGAATAAATACCATGGGAATCACACGCTTATAGTTTTGCAAACTGCCTTCCACACTTCGGTACATCCTGTTCCCTCTTTTGGAATTCCCTGCCCATCTTTCTTTTTACCCCTCCACCACACACTAGGACGGGGGTCCAGAAGGCCAGCTGCAGGGAGGATTCTACCCTGTCAAGGCACTTACTCTGTACTGATGCTGCCCAACCTTGACCTCAGGTGACTGCACTCCTCTCTCCTTTATCCTCCACTTGCATCCCAAAGTCTGCAAAACCCCCCAGGTATACCCACCTCCTCCTGCATATTACGCCTTTAGTCAGCTGCCCTCATTCTTCAGCCTGGGTTCTTCCTTCATATGTAGACAATCTCTAGAATCTAATGGTGGGTTTCCTTAACTCTACCCAATTGACTCCACTGAAATCCACTAACAAAGAGCACAAAAATAATCTTTCAGTTACTTTCTAATTAGAGGAATATCTGCTCACTCAATTTATCATGCCCAAAGTCCTTGAATGGACTCCAGTGGCCTCCCTATCACTTTATCAACATGAATTATATACCAGTATCCAATCTCCTATAAACACCCAGGGCAGGATCCATACACTCTGTTTTTATGCCTTGTTTTAGGATCTGCTAGTGTTATGTAAGCTGAGAAAGCATAATTTGTCAAATTCCATCTAGACTGTACTCTCTTCACTGTGGACTTTCCATTTCTTCTGTTTACAAAATGGGCATCATTAGGTCTGTAGCTGGGAGTTTTCAACGAACAATGTATGTAACGCTTACTGCAGGATGCTGCTGATGTTGACATTTTACAAAGAATAAATGTTGGTTTTTATCATTAATCTTACTATGATTGTGGAAGGAAGTGAGGCACTCATACTTACTATCTTGCTTGCTAAGCTGTGAGTGCCTTTCACAGGAAGTCTGTGGGCCTAATGGACCCAGGAGGAGAACCCCTCAGCATTCTGTCCTTCCCAGATAGCCCCCTGATGACTTTGGCTCCAAGGGTAGATTCTGATAAGTTATGGCTGCCCCTGGCAACTGATGCAGAAAGACAGTTTAAGATCAAATTAGAATTCCAGAGGCTTCTTATTCCATGTGTGGGGATGAGCTTTCTCTTTTGCTGGATATGAACAAAAAAGTATGATGCTCCAGGTACTATATGCAGCCACCCTACAGCCAGAAAGGGACAAGTTTATGCTGGGGACCAGGAAGGCAGGGGGAAGAAAATGGGCCCCTGATGACATCATTGATGTACTAAGGTTGGTATTTTCTCTGGTTAAGCATCCTCCTTGTTAAAGCCAGTCTGAACCAGGGTTTCTTCTACTTACAGCCAAAAGCATTCTAATTCATATCTACTTTACTAATGCAGCCTGGTAGTTTATTTTAAAATACTAATCTTCTGGGCTGGGGTTGTGGCTCAGTGATAGAGTGCTCACCTAATACGTATGAGGTACTGGATTCAATCCTCAGCACCACAGAAAAATAAATAAATAAAATAAAGTCACTGGGGCTGGGGCTGGGGCTGGGGTGTAGCTCAGTGGAGGAACATTTGCCTGGCACATGTGAGGCACTGGGTTCGATCCTTAGAACTACATAAAAATAAATAAAATAAAGGCATTCTGTCCATCTACAACTACAAAAAAACAAACAAAATAAAGTCATTGTGTAACAAAAGAAAAAATATTAAAAAAAACATTAAACTTCTTCAGCTCTCTAAAATGCTTATCTATCTCTGGTTATCAATTAAATTACTTTGTTTTGCATGCAACCCCAAGAGTATGGTCATCCTGTGTGAATAATAAAATCATTTCTACTTACCAACTTTCTTCCTCTCTGGATTTCTTTCTTTACTGATTCCACATCAAAATTTCTATCACAATTATGTGGATCATGATCCTCACATTCCACAAGGGCTGAAGAATACAGCTGCAGATAGGAAAACAAAAAAAAAAAAACCGAGTATACATAAAGTAGTATTGAAAGCTACAGACCAGAAAATGGTACTAAGAAACACTCACCAGGAGTGGAAGATGGATTAGAGGGTAGAATAGTGACCAGTTTTCGGGGTTATAAGCAGACCACAAGCCACCCTGCTTCTCTGGGTGTGATCCTGCACCCCAGGCAAGTTTTATATTACGTAACTCTGACTCCCACTGGCTAATTGGACCTGGGTGGGCCCTGATGCCAAGTTGGACCAGATTCTCTATCCTTGGAGTGTGGAATAGGCTCTGAGCAATAGTGAAAGCAACACGATTCAGTATGCAGAGAAATAAAAGCAGAAACAAGGACATGAGAAAGGATACTCCTAATGGCTTCCCAGCTCTTACTTCTTCGACCTGTCTGCATCTTGGCCTTCAGGAGCCTTGAAATGCCCTGTAATCTCGTTACAAATGTTTTCATGTTTAGGCTGGCTCAAATTTCTGTGGGTCACTTGAATTAAAAGAGTCCAACCTGCTTTCTCAATTGAAGATCAATATGTCATATATATTCAAATAACAAAGGGCATAAAAAACATAAAGAGAAAAATTTTTGTGACACTGGCATAGGCAAAGATTTCTTACAAAAAGCAGAAGCCATAAAGAAAATTTAATAAATTGGACTTAATCAAAAACTTCTTGCTCTTTGAAAAATATTGCTGAGAAAATAAAAAGGCAAGCCAGAGACTGAGATGTATTTACAATACACCTTTGTTTTGTTGTTGGTACTGGGAACTTAACTCAGGGGCACTTTACAACTAAGCACTTACAGCCCTTATTTTTTATTTTCAGACAGGGTCTCACCAAGTTGCTGAGAGCGTTGCTAAATTGTTGAGGCTGGCCTTGAACCTGTGATCCTCCTGGCTCAGCTTCCCAAATTGCTGGGATTATAGGCATAATCCACCACCACACCATACCTGGCTATAATACATCTAGCTGACAACGTACACGCATAAAGAAAAAACTTAAAACTCATTATTGAGTTTTAACAAATTAACAATGGGCAAGGATGGGGCTGTCACTCAGTGGTAGAACACTTGTTTAACATGTACAAGGCCCTAGTTGCTGGGCTCTATCCCCAGCACCACCAAAAAAGGGGCAGGATTTGAACAGATACTTCATAGAAGATTCAGTGAATAGTGAATTAAGCACATGAAAAGATGCCCAATATCATTAGCTCTCAGGCAAATTAAAACCACAAGATATCACTCTATGCCCAACAGACTGGCCCCAATTTTAAAAAACTGATAATATCAAGTGTTGCCAGTGGCACATGCCAGTAAATCCCAGTGGCTTGGGAGGCTGACACAGGAGGATCACAAGTTCAAAGCCAGCTTCAGCAACTTAGTGAGACCCTGTCTCAAAATAAAAAATAAAAAAGGATATTTCAAAATACATTCTACTGTCATGTATAATTTAAAAGAACAAATAAAAACATCTAAAAACTAAATAAAAATTATAAAGGGCTGGGGATGTGGCTCAGTGGTAAAGTACCTGAGTTAAATCCTCAGTACAAAAAAAAAAAAAAACAAGACCAACTATGGATGGAGATGTGGAACAAATGAAACTCATAGACATTGTTGGTAGATGTGTAAAATGATAACTTTTTTTGTTACCAAACTCAGGGCCTTTTGTACTGTAAGCAAGTATTCTACCACTGAGCTATCTATTCCTAGCCCTCAATTTTCCTTTTCTATTCTTTTTGAGACAGGGTCTTCCTATGTTTTTCTTTTCTTTTTTTAATATATTTATTTTTTAGTCATAGGTGGACACAATATCTTTATTTTTTATTTTTATGTGGTGCTGGGGATCAAACCCAGCGCCTCATGTATGCTAGGCAAGCACTCTACCGCTGAGCCCCAGCCCCAGCCCGGGTCTCCCTATGTTGCCCAAGCTCTTCTCAAACTTGTGGTCTGAAGCAATGCTCTTGCCTCAATCTCCCGAGTAGCTGGGACAAGCATACACCACCTTGCCTGGCTCTAAAACAATAACTTTTAAAGTCAAAAGCACACTTATTTTATGACACAGCAATTCTACTGCTAGATATTTAGTTAAAAGAAATAAAAGCATTATTTCCACATGAAGACGTATTATCATAATAGTCTCAAACTGGAAATAATACATGTCTATCAACAGATGAACAGATAACAAATTGGGACATATTGATACAATGAAATACTATGAAAATATAAAAAGGAAAAAATACAGTCATCCCTCAATATCCTCTAGGGAATAATTCCAGGACTTACCCTCATTTAGATACCAAAATCTTCCAGTGCAAAGTCTCTTATATAAAATGGTGCAATATTTGCATATGACTTATGTATATCCTCCCATATACTTGAAATCATCTCTAGATTGAATACAGCATCTAAAATAATGCTTTGTAATTAGATGAAATACTATACGGTTTTTGTTTTTGAGACAGGACTATGGACATGTGCCACCATGACAAACTTCAAAAATTACTGAACAATTTTGAAACGCATAAAAGGCCTAAATTGAAGAGACAGACCCTATTTTTTTTTAAATACTTTTTTTTAGTTGTTGATGGATCTTTAATTTATTTATTTAGATGTGGTGCTGAGAATTGAACCTAGTGCCTCACACATGCTAGGCAAGTACTCTGCCACTGAGTTACAACCCAAGCCTGAGAGAGATCCTATTAATGGATAGAAAGATTCATATTATGAAGGATCTAATTTTACCCAAATTCATCTATAAATTAAATACAACTCTAATCAAAATTCCAATGGGAATCTTTGTGAAATCTGAAAAAAAAAAAAAATCTCAAAGTTCAAAGCACCAAAATAAGAGCCAAGGCTTATTTTATTTTTCTTTGAGGTACTAGGGATTGAACCCATAGCCTTCAATGAACTAGATCCTTAGTCCTTTTAATTTTGAGACAAGTTATCACTAAGTTGCCCAGGTTGGCCTCAAACTTATTATCTTCCTGTCTCAGTCTCGCAAATAGCTGGGATCGTAGGCATGCACTACTGTGCCCAGGTAAGAGCCAAGACTCATGATAAAGCCATAATAATTAAAACTCTGTTGCATCAGCTCAGCAATAGCACCAGAAACAGATCCTTGCAAATGAGATTTGATACTGCCAGCATCCTGGGTAAGCGTAAAAGTTCTAGAATTAGACTCCTGAGAATTTTGGCTGTCATTTACAGTTGTGGGACCTTGGGAAAGTGACAATCTCTCAGTGCCTCAGATGTTTCACCTTTAGCTTAGGGAGAGTAATGGTTGCAGTGAGGATTAACATTTTAATGTAGGTAAAGCTCCCAAAACATTACCACACACATACTAAACAACAGTTATCATTACTTTGAGATGTTGTTTTTACTTAAAATAAAAAATAGAAGATATACATTATTCATGAATGATGGTATGACAGCTGATGTGAATAATGAATGGTGGTATGACAGCTGGTGTAACTTGGTGGTGGAGTGCTTACTTATCATAATGGGTTCAATCCCCAGAACCACAAAACAGACAGACTGGAAAGAAAAATTGTCAATTATATGGAAAAATAAAATTAATTTCTACTTTATGTAATAATAATATTCCAGTAAAATTAAGAAACTAATAAGAAAAGCAAGATTTTAAAACTCATGGGGATAAAAGGATCTTAGCAGAAAACAATTTCTTTGGTTAAAAAAAATCTCACCAATTCTATAAAGGAAAATAATTATGACTTTAACTGAATTATGAACTTCTGACAGAAAATGCCATAAATATAATTAAATAACAAATAATAAAGCTTTACTATTTTTAATGAATACATATAAGCAAAAACAACATCTCAAAGATAAAACATAAAGCCTACCAACACCCAATGCACAGATATAGAAAATACAATGGACCATAAGCAGGAGAATTGATAATGCAATCCCCAGGAATGAGGGAGTGCAAGAGAGATACTATTTTGGGCCGGGGTTGTGGCTCAGTGGTCAAGTGCTTGCCTAGCATGCATGAGGCACTGGGTTCGATCCCCGATATCACATTAAAAAAAAACAAAACAACAACAACAACAAAAAAAAACAAATAAGATGAAAGTATTGTGTCCATCTATAACTAAAAAAATTTTTTTAAAAAAGATACCATTTCATGTGAATTGAGGGGGGGAAAAATGATAACCTCATAATATGAAGTACTGGTAAGGATGAAGAGAAAAATGCTCTGAAACAATAGTGGAAGTCAAATTTGCTACAATGTCTTTGGAGAGTAATTTGGTAAATTTAGTGAAGTGAAAACACCACTTCTCTGTTCCCCAGCAACTCCACTCTTAGCTATATTCCCTAGACAGAGAATTCTCACATGTATGAGGAGACCTAGATAATTGTTAGTCATAGAAAGAAAACCGGCAAAATCTAAATGCCCATTCACAGGTGAACAGTGGTCACGCAATGAAACACTAATTAAAATGAAAGACTTACAACTATGTTTAGCACCATGGATAAATCTAAAACAAAATTATATCTGGGTGGAAGGTCTACAGATGTCTGTTATAGTTGAAATCTTTCATTAAGTTTTTTTTTTTTGTGTGTGTGTGTGTGTGTGTGTGTGTGTTTTACTGGGGATTGAACCCAGGAGTGCATTAGCACCTCCAGCCCCTTTTTAAAATTTTCATTTTGCGACAGGGTCTCCTCCCACTACACTGCCCAGGCTAGCCTCAAACTTGAGATTCTCCTGCCTCAGCTTCCCAAATTGATGGCCTTATAGGCATGCATCACTGTGCCCGGCTTCATTAGACTACCTTTGAAGAAGCTGCTTCATCATAGTTCTCTTCATGTGTTTGACAAGTTATAAATAAATAAAATTAAATGTAATCATAAGATAATAAGATCTGAAACCCTTTAAAGTTAGAAAACTATGTGCCACAATCTTCACTTAAAAGCCCAATGGCCAACTCTCCTTAGTCCTTGTATTCAAAGCACCATTTATCTATTCTGGTATGTCCAGTCCTAAAACGACTCATGTAGTTTCACGTAAGTTTTCAAGTAACTTACCAAACAACATTCATGAGCAGCTATATTCTCTGATTGTGCAAAGTACAGGACACTATACTCGAGATCTTTGGGGCAGAGTGCACATGTCCTTTTTTCCATCTTTTCTGCAACCTGAAAGATACCTATAAGTAACATCCCTGGTGAGAAATGGAAAAGTAGAATTTCGTCATCTGGACACATCCTCCTCCAGTCTTAAAGTAGAAGGCCAGGTCCTTATTTTTATAGTCTCAACTCCCCCAGAGACAAAAAATTGGGGACCCAAAGGGAAAAGTAACTTATTTTTTTTAAAAAAAATTTTTTTAGTTGTAGTTGGACACAATACCTTTATTTTATTTATTTTTATGTGGTGCTGAGGATTGAACCCAGTGTCTCCCACGTGCTAGGCGAGCGCTCTACCACTAAGCCCCAGCCCTAGCCCCAGCCCCAACTTATTTTATATATATTTAAATGGGTTAAAGAAAAAAAAATAATTCATTTAAAATGTCTAAAAATGAGGAAAATCTTCATTCGAGAAACGCAACCATGAAATTAAGCAGAAGCAAAGTTCTCAAAACATTGCCTTGCCCATAGCAAGCTCTCAATAATAATGACTGTCATTACAAATCAACAACAAGGATGTATTCAGGAAACAGTGCTCTGGTTAACTATCCATAACAAAACACAAATCATACCTCTATGTCATACTACATTCAAAAACAAATTCTGGGAGAATTAAAAAAGCAAATGAGTTATGTAACTTTGCGTGCTTTAACTCAACATTATGATTAGTCAGGAAAGAGACATAAAGGAAGGAATCAGTTTTGTTGTTTTTTTTAGGAGAGGAAAGGAAAAACAACTAAGGGGAAAAAAGCTGGGAAGAGAAGGGAAGAGGCAGAGAGAGGAAGCAAAGAGCCAGTTGTTGGGAAGATTCCGACTAGAGTCAGTTAAAAGGCAAGTTTCTCTAATTTGTTAATTTGCTATTATTTTGGCCACAAGCATGAGACTTTGTCTTGCTCCTTGAAAATTCTCATCCTCTTATTCCTTTGTTTTTTCTACAGTAGAAAACTGCTTTTAAGATGAGTGCAGTGGGGCATGCATGTAATCCCAGCAACTCAGGAGGATGAGGCAGGAGGAACACAAAGTTCAAGGTCAGCCTGGGCAACTTAATGAGATTCTGTCTCAAAATGAAAAGAAAAAAGGCTGGTAATATAGCTCAGTGGTACAGCATCCCCAGTTCAATCCCTAACACTAGTCCCTCCCTGCCAAAAGAACCCAAAACTGAAACCAAAACCAAAAACCTTACAAAGCACAGGCTTCAAAAAGACAGTGTCAGGCAGTTACATTATTAGTGCTAAAATTCCCTAGACTATCATGTTTCCCACAATAATATGTGACACTCTGTTATAGTTTGGATCTAGAATGTCTCCCAAAGGCTTCTGTGGTGAAGGCTTGGTCCCCAATTCAGCAAGGTTCAGGGGTGAGACTTCTGGGAAGTAGTTGGGACATAATGGCTCTGATTTAATCAATGGATTAATTCATTGATGGGTTCATAACTGAATGGATTATTGGAAGGTGAGGACATGTGATATAGGGGTAATTGAGCAGAAAAAAGCCACTGTGAGAGCCCGTCTTACCTTGAGTTTAATCATTGGTGCTGCAGACACACTCCAGGTCAGTTCATAGCAGTGTGGTGACCACCTCTGTATTTTCACATCTCACTATAGGAGATGGGGCCTGGTTGGAGGAAGTAGGCCACTGGGGGTATGCCCTAGAAGGGTACATCTTGTCCCAGGTCCATTTCTTGTGCACTTGCTCTCTCCTCTTCCTGTCTGCCTGCCATGAGCTGAGAAGCTTTCCTTAGTTGGACCCTTCCAGCATGATATTACTGCCTTGCCTCAAGCCTAAAACAAAGGAGCCAGCTCACCATGGATTGAAACTCTCTGAAACCATGAGCCAAAATAAATCCTTCCTCCTTTGTTTTTCTTGGATATTTTGTCACAGTCAGAAACTAACAGAAGCTGAGGCTGGAGCTCAGTGGTAGAGTGCTTGCCTAACACGTATGAGGCACTGGGTTCGATCCTCAGCACTACTTAAAAATAAATAAAATAAAGGTATGGTGTCCATCTACAAGAGACATCTAATATACATATATTAAAAAAAACAGTGTCTGACAGAATATGCACCTACTCCTTATTGTATAAGAGTTGGACACTTTAATTAAAGGTCCTCTTTTCTGTGTACAGCTGAAGGTCACCTGCAGACAGGTGTGCTGCATGGGCTGATACCCAAGCAGGGCCTCCAGCACTCACTCTGGGGGCTCTGTGCCCCATCTGATCTGCACTCCTAAGTATTTGGGCTCCTAGGACCCTGGCATGTGAGAATACAGAGGTGGTCACCACACTGCTATGAACTGACCTGGAGTGTGTCTGCAGCACCAATGAATAAACTCAAGATAAGACTCATGGGCTCTCACAGTGGCATTTTTCTGCTCAACCACCCCAATATCACATTTCCTAAAAGATTTTAGCTCTTCTAGTTCATCTATTCTTCTAGACTGGAGGAAGGATGTAATTGGGGGAGTCTGTCACTTTGGGGGCTCTTACATAGGCAGGCAATCCTTCACTATCTTAACTCTCTATATACATTATTTGGAACTTCTGGACCAAGTACATTTAGACAACTTGGTCCCTTAGCCATCTGAACTCAGGAACTATGTAGATTCAGATAGATTGGATACCTGTAGGTGTGTCATGGGTGTTTAGGTTTTTAAGGACCAGCCCATTGGTCTCCATTAGTAGCTGAGGCTAAGAACAGTGAAGATCAGCAGAGCCCCCCAGAGTCATCCTAGCAGGTTTAGCAAGCCTGTGGACTCAACAGATTGACCTGACAAGATTATAGGATTTCAGAATTCTCAAGTATGGAACTGATCGGTAAGAAAGGGTCTGTAGAATGAAGCTGCAGAAAAATTATAAGAAACCCAAATCACAGCAATGCTCCAGACTCTCCAGCAACCTGCAGGCCCACCATACCTGGGAACAGCTTGCTAAGGCTTCAACTTCTATAGGCCTATCCTCCCCAATGCTCCTCTACCTAGAGCTGGTCTTAAGCCCATCAGACAAGGGCAATCCACCACCAGGCAGAATCTGGGTGTAGCCAGGTAGGTGGCCAAGGAACACATTCTGCCACTTAAGAATAAAGGAAACAGATGGAATGAGATCCACTAACCTTTAACATTCATTTAAAACCCTCTTCTAGTAGGATATATTGTTATATGGTTATATTGTTGCCCTAGTTTGGGGCCCTTTCTGAAAAATGCTACAGCATCTGTGTTCTGGGGGTTTGAGGCTGTCTATGCTTCCTGCTGAAGTCATTGTGGTTGATTTCTTGACTTGTAACTAACTGCAAATCCTGATTTATCACCAGGCCATCTCAGTGACTTTCAGGATGCTCAGCAGAAGGGGCAGCCCAGAACAGCTTCTTACTAAACAGTTTTTTGTTTTTTTTTTCTGCTTAAATTACACTGTGTTTGTACTATCTGCAGTCAGCAAGTCTTGACTAACACTTAAATTCCCATGACTTGTGTGCACACTCATGTGTGTGCTGTTCTGGTGCAAGTGTGGAAGATGTACCTTGCCTGCTGTTTTCTGAGTCCATTCTGATAAGCTCATGTCCTTGCCTCTGCTTTCTCTGTCACGACTGTGCTCCAATCCTCCTGTTACTGCCAGAGTGATTTATATAAAATGTATAATCTGAGATTGAGGGTGTAGCACTTGCCTAGCATGTATGAGGCTCTGGGTTTGATCCCCAGCTCTATAAAAAATAAAGTGTCTATCTGCACACATATTCTCATCATCAACAAAGCAGAAGCCAAATTCCTTAGTGTTATAAACAAGCCCTTTCATTCTTTTGACAAATATTTGATGAGGACCTACTATGCCCTATACTACAAAGCAAATAGTTCTAGGCACTAAGAATATAGAAAAGATTAAGTGTATCAACATTCTCGGAACTTAAATTCCAGTGGCAAAGAAAGACATTAAGTAAAATTTCCCCCTCCAGATAGTGGTAAGTCCATAGAGAAAGAGTAGGAAGAGGTAACCAGTAGTCAAAGAGTGCATTTTAGACAAGATGGGCAGGCAAGGTTCAGGGAATAGGCAGACATTTAAGTGTGGTGGGAAAATGAAAATGGGACAATATGTGGATAAATTTTCCTTACTGAGGGAACAGCAAATATAAGGATACTGAAGCAGATTTGATAGCTTACTGGACACACAAGGCAGCAGGGGGTGGCAGTCATCAAGATGGGTAAAGTCAAATCAGAAAAGAACGTGGGGTGAGCTGTAATGGGAGACAACTAGAACAGGTAAAGTGCCTTGCTCTAGGCCTGCTTGTATGAAAGGCTAGAAGAGAAAACAGGAGCCCAGTAGTCCAGACAGGAGACAACGGCAGCCTGGGCGTGGATGGAGTAATGGAAGTGTTTAAGAAGTAGTCAGGCATGAAACAGATTTTGAAGATAGAAGTAATTGGCCTAACTGATGTGTTGGATGGGGTATGGGGAAAAAGGAAAAGTGTTAAGGATACCACTAAGGTTTCTGACCTGAGCAACTGGATGAATGGGATGGGGAAATCTGGGGGCTGAACAAGTTTGCAATGTAGGGAAGACAAATTCTCTTAAGGATGTAGTCAGTTTGAGATCACTGCAGACATGGAAATTGGTTTAAAATCCTGGAGTTTGGGGAAGATATCAGGAAAGAACATCATCTCTCTGTCTTCTCATTTTGCAGTCCATATACACACGTATTAGTTGAATGAAACAGTCAACTGGTTGGCTTATGGTTGCCATTTGTTTTATGGTTTGATGCTCTTGTGTCCTCCTCTCTGCCTGCATTTGCCTTTTCCACTTATGGCTGATTCTTATCCTTTAGAAAGTTAAGACCAGGCGTCCCCTTCTCTAAAAAGCTTTCCTTGGACATCAGGAGAAATTAGGGGCCCCTCATTTGTGCCTCTGTGGTGCTGACTACTTCTAACTAAAGTTGCCTCTTAACATCCTCTGGAGTAGGGACTGCCTGGCTCGTCTTTATATCCTTATGACTAGCCCTGAGCCTGGCAAATCGCAGGAGCGCTACAGGTGTTGAAGGGAAGAGGCCCACTCAGAACACTCATTCAAGCTGAGGGCCCAGGAGGAGTGGAGCAAAGGAAATGGTGTCCAGTCATGTCCTCTATGAGGTCTTTCCCAGCCGCTTCCTGAGACTCAGCTGCTGGTAGCGTGCCTTCCCTGCGGCCTGTTTACTCCAGCTTCCCCGCAGCAGGGCAGCTCTCCTGCGGCAGGGTGGAATCTCACTTGGGAGTTTCAGTTTCCCTGAGTTTCGGTCGCTTGCAGTCAGTGAAGCACAGCCAGGAGCACCTGGTCCACTGCTCCCCAGTGAAATGTCAGCAGGCCAGAAGGAGAATCAAAGCCACTGCAAGTGGCCGCACGCCGCCCTCCCCTTCTCCCTGGACCCGCTGTGCAAGCGAGCGCGAGTGCAGGGCAAGTTAGTCCTGTGGGTCCCTGAGCAGGCCGAGGAGGGACTCGGGTCCCCGCGCGGCTGCCAGGCAGCCCCGGCCCGGCCGCCCGCACGGTACTCACCAGTGGGGAAGGGCAGCACGTCCTGCAGCTCGGGGTCGCCGGCCGGGCGCACGGACTCGGCCCGGGGCGGGGATGCGTGGGCCATGGCCGCAGACTGCGGGTCTCGGCAGCCTGTCGGCGGTGGCCCGTGGGCGCGCTCCCGGAAGTCCTGGCGGCGCCGTCGCTTCCTTAACTCCCCGGAGCCGCCGCAGGGAAAGCTCGAGCCGAAGACCCAGGTTGGCATGGGGAGGGGGGTTTCTCGCAGTTTTCCAGGTCTAATGGTTATTTTGGTAGGTTAAACTACAACAATAACAACAAAACCCCAGAAACGACTACATATGCCAGTGCCCCTACCCTCTCCCACGGCCCCAGCTCAGCTGTTCTGAGGTTCTTCTGAAACTCGTCCACCATTTGGCCTAAATAGCCCTATCTTAAACCAACGCAGAATTAACCGACCCTAAATCCAGTTGCCAGGAGCAAGCCTTTATTTAGCACCCACTGGATACAGAGCACCACACAAGACGAGGTTTTCAGTGCATATAATAAATATACGTGTACACAAGATAAATACATATATTAAATTATAACTTAAAATTAATAGAAGCATAAAAATTAATTTGCTGCAGAATTAAAGGAAAACTTCTGCAGGTCTTGAACTTGGTGAAGGTTTCTAAGCTGCAAATGCAAAATTGGGGTAACAAAAAATGTAATTTGGACAGTCTTGACAAGTATGAATGTATTATAGAAGAATGTCTTGGGGGTTGGGGGCAGAGGTGTTGCAAATGGGAAATGAGCAGACCCTAGGCACATGATTTTTTTTTTTTTTTTTTGCTTTTCCCACAGGAGGATAGAAAAGTATGCCTTGCCAGGCAGAAAAGAAAACCCTTGAGCCCACAGGATTTCTCAGCAAAACAGCTGAGGCATGGTAAAGCAATCCAGGAACCTTTTCTCTCTTTCAGACTGCAATGTTCTCTTAATTCTGAAGAAAGCCCTATAATGTTAAGGGACAAAACAAACATACAAGGAAAATAAACAAAGCTGAGAGGACAGAGAATATGTAGGAAAAAAATAAGACATATGAATGCATGTATATGTATGCATATGCACACACACAGAAATATACTGCAAATGGGCCAATACAGGATGTTATAAAGAATATTAAAAGAAAAAAAGAGAATTCTTACAAATTAAAAATGAGACCATAAAAATCAAAAGTACTCTTCAGTATCTTCTAGGGTACTGAAGAGTAAGTTAAGTAAAGTTCCTAGAAGGTAAAGCAGGAAGACAGAGCTGGAAATTAAGAGAACAGTAGAAAGAAAACCAGAGAACCAATACTGGAGATCTAACATTTTGGTAACAGGAATTCCAAAAAGAGATGAGAAAGCCTTCAAGAAATGGTTTCTGTACTGAAAAACAAGGTTTTAAGATGAAAAGATCTCATCAAACACCAGTAGAAGGATGAAAATGGACTCTGACCAGAGACAAACACTGGGACAAAATTAATCCTATAACTTCAAGAGAGGTAAAAATTCTATACCCTGCCGAAAATAGCAATCAAGAAAGTAAAATAAAGACATTTCAAATGTGCAGAGTCTCAAAACATTTACTTCTTATCTTTTTCAAAAGTTACTGGTGTCAGGTGTAGTGGCATGTGTCTATAATCCCAGCTACCTAGGAGGTTGAGGCAGGAGGACTGCAAGTTTGGGGCCAGCCTGGGCAACTTAGTGAAACCTTTTTCAAAAATAAAAAATAAAAAGGGCTGGTGATATAGTTCAGTGGTAAAGTGTACCTGGGTTCAATCCCGAGTCCAAAAAATAAAAATAACAAGCTATTGGAGGCTATGCTTCACCAACATAAAAGAGTAGACTAAGGAAAGGGAAACTAGAAACAGATCTGACATGAGAGACAAAGCAAATCTCTAGGGTACTGAAGTGAGATGCTAGCTGTAAAATAATTGAGAATGAAGCAGATCACAATTTCTGGAGAAACTTCTCAAAGAGGATAAAACTGATAGAATATTTCAGGTTTATGAATGTTAGATGGACTCCTAAAGCAGATCTTAAGGAAATACTGGCTGATCTATAATATTTCCTGCACAAAAATATTTGACTAAACTTCTCACTTTATTTTAGCATACTGCCTAAAATTCCTGCATCTTTATTGTAAATACACAGATTTCTCAACTTGACTCATCTGTCTATAGACAATTGGGTTTTAATTTTTTGGCTACTTTTCCTAGTTCTTGGTTTCCCAAGTTCAATTTTCATCTGGTTCAATATTTTTAAGAAACTGGGTCCCAACTTAAAATAGATTTGTTTGAAAGGTAATCAAACTAAACCCCAAATCAAGTAACAACAACAAAAAGACATAAACCCCTCAAAAAAGAAATCCCTTCCTATTTCCCATAATGAGGACTGAACCCAGGGGAGCTTTACCATTGAGCTACATCTCAATCCTTTTTCATTTCCGACAGAGTCTTACCCAGTTGCTTAGTCTAGCCTTGAACTTGTGTTCCTCCTGCCTTGGTCTCCATTTAATTACTCCTTTTCAAATTAATAGTACCACCTGGAAGTTCCTAGAAGTTCCTAGGAGCTAAATGTACTTTTTCTGTAAGGGATAAAATTAATTTTGATTCTTGGAGCTTCACAGTCCCCTTTTCCACTAGATGATCAGGGTTAGCCTACAGCAAAGTAGTTAACTTCCCCTTTTTTCTACAAAAACAACCAGCCATGCCCAGGATATACCAAGAGGCTGTTTTAGACTCTGAAGCTCAAAATTGTTGTTTTGTTATATTTTTGATGTGAAATTTTGCCCAGGATAATTCCTTCTAGTTTCAAGGTTTCTTTTACTTATAGTTTTATTCTCTTTAGAACAAAATATTCAATTTTCTCTAAGTTTCTATTCCCTCTTATCTTGTCTGCATTGAAGGAGTGAAGGGAAACTGGAAAAGAGGATTAATCTCAAAGAGTTGAATCAAAGAATTTGTCAAGGGCTGGGGATATAGCTCAGCTGGTATAGTGCTTGCCTCTCATGCACAAGGCCCTGGGTCCAATCCCCAGTACCACACTAAAAAAACCCAAAAAACAAAAACACCGAAGAGTTTGTCAGAAACTTAACTTACTGAAGAGTCTCTCCTCCCCAAATGATTGATGGGACAGTTTCACGGAGCCAGATATAGTTTCTCTTAACAAGTATTAAAATACTTGGGAGAATTGGGGTGTGTGTGTGTCAGTGGTGCAGCACTGGCCTAGCAGGCATGAGGCCTAGCACTAGGGGTAAAAAACAAAAACTGCACACATTGGGAGTACTATGTATAAAATTAGTTCTCACGTATCCCTCAGGTTCTGTTGCCCACCTTGTAGCCTATAATGATGTGCCAGGAATTAAACATTAATTTTGTAAGTAAATGTGAAATTTGGTCCTTGCAGGTATAAACTAAATAATAGTGATTAAAAAAGTAACTTAGAAACTACTGAATTCTATTTTTTTCTTAATATACAATTTGTAAATAAGTTATAAATTATACAGTGATATTTCATATAAAATATACATTTCCATTGTACTCAAGTAAAGTTGAACAGCAGTAAAAACAAGGATAGCCTGTGCATATGAAAATGTTCTTATTTTGAGTCTGGAATTTAATCAAATAAAATAGAAATACAATATGAATCCTGAAAAAAGAAAAAATGAGAATTACCTTGGTGTACAGCAACCTACATTAATTCCACTGATGACTGAGGATTCTTTTGCATGGCTCCAATTTGAGCCTTATCTAACTTCATGAACAGGCATTAGTTACATATTTATAATATTTTTTTCCTACACTTATTAACCCCACATTGACAGAGTATTTCTTTGTCAGGCATAGTCCCAGCTTCATAACCATAATCCCACGTTAGTTCTGTTCTTGCTTTCACATACCTAGAAAGTAGAAATGAAAAATAATCATAACTACCTTAAATAACTATCAAATGAATCAAAATTGATTGTCAATTTACACATTAACATCAATAACCATCTTAATAATATGATCTATTTTCTCTCGTTAGCACCCATCAGTTAGGAATGATTTTTTAAAAAATATTTATTTTTTAGTTGTAGTTAGATATGTATGTATGTATGTATCTATCTATCTATCTATCTATTTTTTTTGCTGAGGATCGAACCCAGGGCCTCACATGTGCTAGGCGAGCACTCTACCGCTGAGCCACAATCCCAGCCCAGTAATGATCTTTTATTAAGAACAATTATTGGGGGTGCGGTTGTGGCTCAGCAGAAGAACACTCGCCTAGCATTTGCGGGGCACTGGGTTCGATCCTCAGTACCACATAAAAATAAATAAAGTCAAGGTATTGTGTCCAACTACAACTAAGACAAAATATTTAAAAAAAAAGCACAATTATTTGATTATTTCAAATCTACTAAAATCCTAAGAAAGAAGGAATCTGTTAGTATCCATGAGGGAGGAAGTGTATTTTACAAATGTGAACCTATGTAAAGTAACAGATTGGGGACAATTATAAGATGAAGAAGATATAGCACTTTTTGTCATTCATCTCCCTCAACTGAACTGGGTGAGATCTTAAAACCTATCAGTAATTAATTCTAAGTGAGAATAGAATAGAAATTTCAAGTGTTCAAAATTTTATTGATTAGGAAGAGTTTAGGATAATTGAATATTCCAGAATACCAGATATTTGGGGCTATATTACACATCTTTATATATTTTCTATATAATTTCAGAATTAAATCATATCAGCAAAATCAATATCAAACCTGTTGGTGAAGAATGCCACCAATGGAAAATTTCTGTCACGTGTTTCTACAAAAACATTCTGTACCAAGAGATTTGGGCAACAACTATGCTGTTAAAAACAAACAAACAAACAAACAAACAAAAACACAGAGATTAGATATAGCACAAAGTTTGCTACCTTATGTTTTGCACTATTAGAATACCATTCTGTTTCCAACACATCTCACTGATTTTTTCTTTTTTCTATATTACTATATAAAATACTAAAAGCTCATGACAGTACTATTAATAGAAACCCATGCAGAAAAGCCCTGTTTTGACATTCTGATATCCTGGTGATAGAAATGCAAAATGGTACTCAAAAAAGTGAGTAATTTGTCAATATTTATCATCACTATAAATGCACTTATCTTTTGATTCAACAAATTCATTTTTAAAAATGTATTCTACAGGTTACTCTGCATATGTATGTATGTATGTGTAAGATTATTCATGCAGCATTGGTTTTAACAGTAAAAGTTTGGAAATAATGCTAATGTTTGCCTATACTTTGGTACATTGATATAATGCAATTCTATGTTGCTATGAACAAAACCATGCAAACCAAAGAAATGAGGTGTTCTCTCTGTGTACTGATATGGAAAGATCTCCAAGATATAGTGTTAATTCAAAAAGCAAAATATATAACAGTGAATATGCTATCCTGTCTGTAAAAAGGAGGAGACAAACAATACACATATATTTACTCATATTTGCAGAAAAATACCAGAAGAAAGCACAAAAAAGTCATAAAATGACTATCTTAGAAAGTGGAGTGGAAGCAGGTAAATGGGAGGAGAATACTTCTCAAGGTAGGGCTTTTTGAAATTATTTTTTAAAACAAAACAGTTTTCACAAAAAGTTTAAAATGAAGACTATATATAGGAATAGTGCGTATGAAAATAATTTATTTTTTCATAAAATAATTACTTAATAATTTTTAAATCCTAGTAAAAAACACCACCTTAGAAGAGGAGTCGTGTAAGCAGTTGATTCTCTGCTGAACAAAAAAACCATTTATCTTCATTCTAAGGTTTCTAACATGATGATACTCTTTTTATATTACCACCATTCTCATACTGTTCAGGTGCCCACTAGCTGTCATCTCAGCACACTTATGTATCACAAAATTCTCAAGAGATCAAATCCCTACAATATTCTGTGGAATGTCTGGCATTATTATTTAATTTCAATGATTACTTCCTGCCCATACATTTTTTTTTTTTTAACTTGAGCAGATAAGTCGGAAACCTCTGGTATGTTTTTTACACACTATTTCTTAGTGTTTTTTTTTTTTTTTTTTTTTTTAAACAAATGTTTGGTATGTGTTAGGTAGTCGGAAGCACTTTATATTAATTCATTTAATCCTCATAATATACTAAATAGTTATTATTATCCCCTATTACAAAGATAGGAAATGAGGCAGCAAGAACTTAAGTAACATGCCATGAACACCCAAGTTGGGTGCTGGACTTCTAACGCAGGTTGTCTAGCTTTAGGACTGTCTGTTAATCATATTACCCTTATGATTTTTTAAAGCATGGGGGAAAAAGTTGTTTAGAAATATGCATCTCAGTCCCTATACTCACATTAAGGAAACGGCCCACATTTCCTTCTTTTGTGGCATCCAGTAAAAAAACATTGCTTTTACTGGACTTCATTAGAGAATCAGATGAAGTATTCTTGGTATCACTTGTCAACTCTTCATCATGATAAACCTGCTGGTTTTTACACACTGGAGATTCTTCCTCTTGGGGCTTTTTTATTTGAACCTCAAACTCTTTAACATTTTCATTATCCAATGTGGTTGCCTGGTCACATCTGCCCCCTGGCAGAGTTTCTTCTCTACATGTAGTCATATCTATTACATCTGATTCAATCAGCTGATTGTCCTCAGAATCTTCAATTTGGTTGAATCTTGAGTTCTCTAATAGATATTGTCAGGAAAGAATTGTCAGAAAATTTACTTGGTTGAGTAATGGTGATGAGATTAACAATATTAATTAGATGCTACCTGTTATCATTATCATTAATCTTTACAATGTATTAAGGTAGGTAGTTTCGGTAAACAGATTTGCCTGACTCATAATAATGAGAATTGGGGTAACAAATTCAAATATGTTTGGCTCCTGCCTTCTTTCTACTACACAGCAATGACTATGAATCTACATGTTGCTTCCACATTACCATGTTTAATCTTTTTTTTCTTCAACTCTGGAATTTGCATTTAAATATAACAGAATGGAGGTTTAAGAAGCACGCTAGGCTTTTATGTGCCAATGAAAGGCCTGAGAAGTCCCCTTCAGAATCAGAATCACCCTCTACAAATCCCAATAGCAACAAGTATGTACCACCAGGGATTGGTACATATTAAGTTTGGTGTTTTGCTAGATGACCACTCAATAATTACACTTTTACAAATAATGATACTTCAAAAGTAGAGAACTAATTAACATCCAATAATGGAATTTTTTTAGAGTATTCAAAAGTATGAATGCATGTAGGATGGAGTAAGTAAACTCACTTATTAAACAAACAAATAAAATAAAAAAGTCACTGTGTCATCTAAGTCAATCGTATAACAAAATTACATTTTGGCCAAAATGTCATAGAAGCCAAGATTAAATTGTGGTTACCAGAACCTGGTGTGGGGTGAAGGGCACAGAGAGAAGATGGTTAACAAGTTTGTGGGTGCAGCTGGATAAGAGGAATAACTTCTCATGTTCTACATAGTGCAGAATAATTTTGGTGGACGATAATTAAGTGTATATTTCAAAATAGCTAGTAGAAAGGATTTTTAATGTTTCCAATACAAAGAAATGATGTCTGAGGTGACAAATATACCAATCACCCTGATTTGATTATTACACATTGTGTACAAGTATTGAATGTCAAACTGTACCCCATAAATATGTATTTTAACATGTTAATTAAAAATAAAAACTTGTTGAAAATAAATTATATTTTTTTAAAAATTAAGACTCTTCGCGGTGGAGTTGTGGCTCAGTGGTACAGTGCTTGCCTAGCATCTATGAGGCACTGGATTCAATTCTCAGCACCATACATAAACAAATGAATAAATAAACTATATTTGGACTGCCTGTTTATATGCACTGTAGACATCAATGATAATGACAAAAGAATCAGAAGCAATAGTATTCATTATGGCTCATGTGCATTAAATGTTGGAATGCAATACATAAAAATGCCCTTTCTTGATAGAACTTTTTTTTTTTTTTTAAAAGCTTCAGGAGTTTTTTTTTTTTTTGTTAGCCTTTATTTTTATTTGTTTTTATTTATTTATTATTTTTTTTGAGAGAGAGAGAGAAAATTTTTTAATATTTTTAGTTTTTGGTGGACACATCTTTATTTTTACGTGGTGCCGAGGATCAAACCCAGCACCTCGTAAGTGCTAGCGAGCGCTCTACTTCTGAACCACAGCCTCAGCCCCTTGATAGGATTTTTCTACCAAGGAGCTGCCATGCCTTTCCCAATTTCTATCCTTTAATAGGTGGGGATTTAGGCTTGTAGATGCAAGGAGGCTCAAAGAAGAGGCAGCAATGGCTGTTCAGTTCTTCAAAAAGGACTCTCTCTCTCAGTAATGTCTCCTTACTGTGCGATCCATTGAAACATAAAAGTACCCAAACCCAGTTTTTGGTACTTAATATTATATAATTGTAATATTCACCATGGCAGAGACTGGTAATTCTGAAAGACAAGCACTCATCAGCGTTTTAGCCCTTTGCTAGACATGTTTGTCATCCTCTGTAGTGGTGTTGGCTAGACTACTGCAAAAGAGTGATGTGTCTTTATTTTTAAGACTTCAAAAGAGTGTCTCCTTTAAACAAACAATGCTTACAAAGCCACAAACACCACCTGTGGATCATGAAGGGTCAGAATTGTCCACCTTACTCCTACTGCCATGCATCAAGTCAATGTTGGCAACAAGATCAGAGGTCAGCAAATGTTTTCTGTAAAGGGGCAAACAGCAAATACTTAAGGCTTTGCCAGAGTCTACTGTGAATCTGTGGGTGTAATGTGAAAGTAGAAACAATATGTAAATGAATGATTGTAGAACTTTATTTACTGACAATGAAATTTTAATTTTCAAGTGTCATAAAATATTTACCTTCTGATTTTTTCCAACTATTTTAATGTAAAAATCATTCTTTCACAGCCTACACACATATATAGGTAGTAGGCCTATATAAACCACAGTTGGCCAATATTTTATCTAAACAAATGGTAACTTTGATCACAAATGCAGCATGTTTGCTATGAAATCTAAGAAAATGAGCCACAGATTATTGAACAAGAGAGAGACAAATAGGCAGATGAGAGATAATGATAAAGTGAAACATAGCCTACTTTGTGCTCCCCTGGTTTTAGAGTTCACATGTGCTTGGGCTGGTTTAAATCCATCATTATCTTCTGAGGTGGCAGACTCTAAGGAAACAAATCTCTTAAAGGAAAATAAGAGATATCTTTACTTCCTAGGTTAGGAAAAAGTATTCAGCAGTTAGGTCTCATCAAATGTCAATTTTCATAGGCTACACGTACTAGTTAATTTTGAAAAGCTTCACAATTAAGATTATAAGAATCTTTAGACTAATGGAGCCAATGTATGTTACCCCTTCTCAATATGTTCTATTTCTAGGCACTTTTTAAAGGTATAGCTATGAAGACTGTCAGGACATTCTCTGGATTTTAATAAATCCAATACATCTTTCTGTACTTATCAATTCAAATTATCCTTCATAACTGAGATAAGTGCTGTGTAAGATTATAATTTGGCTTCAACTGTAAATTGTGCAAGGATTAAAAATTTACTGGCTAGTTTCCACTTCAAATAAAAGGTTAAAGAATTTTGTTTTTATGCATTGAAGACAATGGAGTCCCCTTAAATGTGATGCTTTCAACAGAGGGGTGTATGTTTAGCTCAGCACACAACTAATTGCTCAATAAGTGCTGACCATTACTTTTTTCTCTTCAAGTTCATAGTATTTGAAATGTCAATATTTATTGAACACTTAGTTGAGTGCCAAGCATTGTGCTAGGAAAGTTTTCTGTTATTTATCTCATTTAATCTTCAGAACTCTTGAGATAGATTCTATTATTTTCATTTTACAGATAAAAGGAAAGCACCCATGGAGATGTCTGCTAGCTAGTAAGCAGCAAAGCTGGAGGTTAAACTAGCATCAGAGCTGGAGATTACAACTACTGGCTTAATCTTTCCATAAACCATATGATACTGAGAAGGTTATCTACTGTATTGTTACTAGGCAGAGGGCAAGTATTTGTACACGTAGATCCGAGTTTTTATTTTTCACCAACAAGCCCTATTGTAAGCTACCATTATGTCTATCTCTGTTCTTTTTCCTATATCTTTTTCTTCTTCCAAGTTTTAGTCTGACTAGTCTTCTCAGCTCAATTTGAAAAGTATATCCTCAGGCTACCATGTAAAACAATGCTTTCTGGATGATTCTTTTATAAAATTGCAGCTCTTTTTTCTCTTGTATCTCAAAACAAGTTTCTCTTTAAACTAAATTACTCCATCACTTTTCTTTTTTATATCACTATTAACTTAAAATTCTCCTCATATATCTAAGTTGGAAATATGCGACTGCTATGAACAATACTAAGTAAATAAAATATGTCTTAAAACTTCAACAGCATACCATTCCAAAATAATACAAGAAATTCTACATAATATTAACTAACATAAACATTTTAAACTAAGTAAAGATAGAAATGTAAGATAATAGTTAATGGTCTCAGAAGGGCCCCATCTACATTTTCCAGTTTTTACCACCTTTTTCCCATTGTGTGAAAAAATGGCTGTCTTGGATTTAGGACTTCTAATAACTGAATGATACTGAGTTCTTGAGATGTTGTTATAGTTCATCTCTCTGAAAGGGAAAAAAAAAAAGGTTATTCTGCATATCACTAAAAATTCTCTTTAGTGGACCTTAAAATGTACATAATATCAAAATTACATAAATATGCATTATTAATAATTAAGTTAAGAACATCTCTAACTACCCTTCACTGGAGGAGAAATTTTATTTAAAAGTCAATAATTTTGGGGGGGGGGGAGGACTGGGGATTGAACTCAGGGGCACTCAACCACTGAGCCACATCCCCAGCCCTATTTTGTATTTTATTTAGAGACAGGGTCTGAGTTGCTTAGTGCCTCACTTTTGTTTGTTTCTTTGTGGTGCAAACAAGGCAAGCATTCTACCAACTGAGCTATATCCCCAGTCCTGGTGCTTCACTTTTACTGAGGCTGGCTTTGAACTCACAATCCTCCCAGCTGCTGGGATTACAGGCATGCACCACTGAGCCTGGCAAGTCAATAATTTTTGAGGTATGTTTAAAAAAAGAGAATCTATAAAAGTTTTACAAATCAATGGTAATATGAAACAAAAGAAAACAAACAAACAACAAAAGCAAATGTCATGATGTCCTGCTGAAAATCATCCAAGGCAAAACTCTAGAAATGGGCACTAAGGAAAGTGTGTTGGCTAGGTTTTTAAAATTAAAGTGGCCTGAATTTCTCAAAGTATTAAATTTATAACTGTGAAGCAAAATTATAAATAGGAGTGGGGGGCAAAAGAATAAGAAAGAAAGAGGAAGGAGAAAGAATCACTTTTGATTCCTAGCAGAGTAACTGTGATTGGTGTTCCTAAGTTCTTACTTACATAATGGGCTTGTTTGAATTACTACTAAACTTAGGTAGATATTCCTCAGTTTCAGCACTTTTAGGTCGCTTTTCCAATTCTAATGTGATAACTTCAACCTCACAATCTGAACACGCAACTTCCATTTTTCTCTTTTTTGAAAATATATTTTTCATAACATCCTCTTCTTTTCCATTTTCATCAACAGCATTAGGTTTCTGAGGATTGACTCTCTTTAGCAATCTTCCTAAAAGAAAAAAAGAGTTTGAACAAGATAGAAGATAATCTAATTGCTAACAATAAACTGACATGTCTATTTCTGCTCCATGACCAAAGGATCCTGTGGAAACACATTAACTCATCCTAGAAAAATGTTGTGAGACAGAAAAAAAGGAAAAAAAAAAAAAAAAGCAATAAGGTATTTCTTATCTTCCATTCATAAGAAATACAGGGTGCCTAAAAGAAGCATTTGCCCATTTTGGTATAACATGAAAGATAAGAGATTTAGCTATAGTACTATAAAACAAAAATACGAATCTAAGTATTCTAGAGAGGTGAAATCTAGTCTTAAAATTGCAACTTTTCTGTCTAGTTAAAAAGGCTTTAGCATTTGAAACCTATACTCTTTTAGAAAATGACCTATTTAAAATAATGCTGTATGTACCTACTGTTCTCATATTAAAGTCCTGCATAATATTAAAATATTAGTGTAAAATTTATGCATTTTCTTTCAAGGAACTTAAAATAATAGTGACCAAATCAGATTAGCAACTGGCTATTCTCACTCATCCTTGTTAGACAGATCAGAGATCCTTAGGTGTAATTTCTAATGATGCTGATAGAGCTAATGATGCTTCTTGATATCATTTGGCATATTATAGGCAGCTTCCATTCAAGAGTTATTTTGAGAAATATGAGAGACAAATGTCTAGGCAGGTTGTGTGGTATGTGTGTACATAAGTGGTGCATGGCAGAGATCCAAGTGTGATTACCCTGAATGCCAATAACTGCAAGTTTCTTTTTGCCCTTCCTGAAATGAACCTGGAATTTCAAATGAGCAGGTTGCATTGGTTCCTGAATAGGAAAAGATATATTCAGAAATGTAGATCCCACTATAGAATAATTAGAAAACAAGCCTTTGCTTTACCTGAATAGATGCAAACAAACGTCCCTCTGTCGATGTCATCTAAGCAGCGTACACCCCATCCCTTCTTCTCAGTTTTGAACACCTGTAGCCTCACTTGAGGACCATGTTGGACAACTCGGTTTTGACACATTTGTCGATTACACTTGCACATTAAGCTGCATTCATAAATGCTGTCAACAAAATATGTAAAAGAGAAAATCAGTAAGATCCCCAAGAAGCAAAAAGCAATTTATACTGCTACTTTCCTGGCACTGAAGAAAACAGATTATGAAAATTCTTTTTTTTTTTAAATTTTTTTAACAGTAGATGGAAACGATACCTTTATTTATTTTTTAAATTGTGTTGAGGATCAAACCCAGGGCCTTACATGTGCTAGGCAAGCATTCTATCTCTGAGCTACAATCCCAGCCCTGAAAATTCTTAGTGCTAGTCTACCCATCATACCTTTTGCTTTTATCAGCTGTGGGTTCATTTTGTTTTTTCATTTTAAAAATGGGGATTATAAGGGTTGGGGTTGTGGCTCAGTGGTAGAGTGCTTGCCTAGCATGTGTGAGGCCCTGGGTTTGAATCCTCAGCACCACATAAAAATAAATAAAATGAAGGTTAAAAAAAAAGGAAGAATCCTTAAAAAAAAATGAGGATTATACAATAGTAGTTACACATTGAGCTGTTTCATGAATATAAATAAGTCAGATGCCTGGCAAATTAATTTTAGTTTTTTAAAAATGTCTAGGAGTTAAATTCTTCTTTTCTGTTCTAAAGATATTATTTGGTAATATATCTCTGCCCAGTATATTTGTTAATGGGGAAATGGCCACCCAAAGTAGGCTGATCCTAAGAGGGTTAAAAGCCAGACTTGATGCAGATTAGTGTTTGAGTATACTCTGCATGATAACTATGTGGTCTCTGACTTTCATTTTCAAAAACACTGTATAGGCGTTTTCTGAATTATTATACCATAATAATTTAGATTTTGGGTATTAAAAACAGATTAAAACAGTATCTGTAAGACTGTTGACCACAATAAAAAAGTACCCACCTTCACAGATATAAACACCCTGCAACAAATCCTCAAGGTATCTTACCCAGTAGGTATTTGTCTCTGTAGCCTTTTATACTTATATCCAGTGGTAATTTTATTACTTAACAAAGGACAACTTTTGGCATTCCTTGCTGTCAGCTGGAGACATGCACATTTTGTTCTAAAAGGAAGTCAATGGATGAAAAAATAAGAATAAAAAAACATCAAGTTAAGAGACTATCTTGATAAAAGTGTAAATGATGAAATAAAGAATATAAAGAATATCATTGTATTTAGAATAGTTATTTGATTAATGGACTACATGAGACTTCTCTACATAGAATAGGCCTCTCTGAAAGACAACATCAAAACTTTTTAAATAATTATAAATTGTACTGTATTTCTATGAAATTATAAACTGCACTGTACCTATAAAATATCTATACAGATTTTCTTCAACTTTTCAAAATGAAATCATCTCTTATTCAGCAGAAACCCGTTTGTGAATATTCTGTTACTCTGTTTTTCTACAATAGATAATCATAGATGTGTCAAATTCACAGAATCATAGTTTTGCAGATGTCCTAAATTCTTTCTCACTCCAGTGACATAAAAGCATATTGGAGACTTATGTCAAACATCTGGCTACTAGAATCCTATTTTCAAATTGTTGTTAGGCACCTGTAACCATAAAATTGAATCCATATATCCCCCCCCCCCACATACCTATTAAGATTAACTTTTCCTCTATAAATCTCTTCTGTATTTTTTTTAATATTTACTTTTCAGTTTTCGGTGGACACAACATCTTTATTTTTATGTGGTGCTGAGGATCGAACCCAGCGCCCCGCGCATGCCAGGCGAGCGTGTTACAGCTTGAGCCACATCCCCAGCCCTCTTCTGTATTTTTTATATATAACAAAATTACATTATCAAAATGGTGACTGCTATTTGCAATAGAAGGAGAAAATAGTAAATTCATTAAGTTGGATTCTGTTTATGAATGTAAAAATCCAGTTTTTCAATGTGATTTTGTTTATAAAACATACGAAGTTCAGAAAAACACAAATAACATTCATATTTTTATCACTCAGAATTAGTTGTCAGTGTTTTGTTTACACCTTCTTTTTTTCCTATGTAATTTAAAACACAGATACCAATATATGAAAAAAATACATTACTGATAAAACTAAAGCTTCAAGAGATTTGATGTGGCATCCTAGATAATCTTATATACACATGTATAAACAACAACACATTGTATTGCTTTCCATGTTTAAAAAACTTACTATAGGTATTACATTATAACTTGCTTTCTGTTCAATATAGTGTTTCTGAGATTCATCTGTAATATATAAAAATGTGGTTAATTCCTTTTAAGTTTTCTATTTAGCTACTGCTCACCTGGTTTATTATTAAGTAGCTTAGAGTTTTTCAGTAAACAATGTTGCAATGAGCATCTCTATTTTTATGCACATGTGTAAGCATCTTTAAAGGTAATGGTTTTCAAATATTTTTGACTGTGAACCACAGTGAAAAATACATTTGCTTCATGATCTTGTATAGGCATACATACATATTTATATGTAAGTATATAAATTGAAACCGTGGCATGAAACGTTACCCTTATTATATGTGATTTAATTGGATATTTTCTATTGTATTTAATTTGAAATATGCTAATTATAACTGATACAAATACTTAAATAATTTTACATTCCACTAACCCTGTTGTTTGGACAACAATGCTGTAGACCTACCTAAAAATACTGGTGCTATAAACTGTAGATATACATGTCTTCAACTGCTGTGTAACTGGGAAAAAAAAAATCACCCCTTGAAATAACCAGCTAGGTACAGAATACCAATTTTGCGTTCATTTTCCTTCAGCACTTTAAACTGAACCCCCAGTCTTCCATTATTTCTGATAAAAATAAGTTGTCAGTATGTTTTTCTTTTGTAGGAAATCAACATTTTCTATCTGATAGCTTTTGAGATCTACTCTACCGAGATATTTTAAAAGTTGAATCATGATATATTTATATATATATTTATCTTCTTTTCCCTTCTTCATGCAGAGTTGGCCTTTTCAATCTGATTCTCATCCTTCTGCAATTATAGAGAACTCTGAGATTATTTTTTTTAAAGTTTCATCTTTTTAATTTTTCTTCTTGGATATATAAAGAATTTCTCATTTTATTTTATTTTTTTTGCAGTACTGAGGATTGAACCAGGGACTTATATGTGCTAGGCAAGTGCTCAACCAATGAGCTATACCTCCAGCCCCCTGCATTTCTTTTCTTTTTTGGGGGGGTAGGGGTACTGGGGATTGAACTCAGGGGCACTCAACCACTGAGCCACATCCTGCATTTTTTTTTTGAGACAAGCCTCAAACTTGTGATCCTCCTGCCTCAGCCTCTTAAGTCACTGGGATTGATTACAGGTGTGTGCCACCATGACTGGACCTAAAATAAACAAACAAATAAATATAAACTGAATAAACTCAGGACAGTGAAAGGTCTTTTCTACAAGAGGCTTAAAGGAACTGAGATAAACTGAGGTTAACAGCACATTTGTATCTCTCATTTCATATTCCAACTGAGAGGATGATGAAAACTATTATCTACATTATAGTAGGCCTTTCCTTTTCCATGGTTTCAGTTTCTGCAGTTTCCATTACCTATGGTCAACCACTGTCTGAAAGTATGAATTGGAAAATCCCAGAAATAAATAATTTATAAGTTTTAAATTACATGCTGTCCTAAGCAGTGTGATGAAATCTCATACTGTCCCACTGGATCCCACCTGGAATGTGAATCATCCCTTTGTCATGCTGTGTACTCTACCTGCCCATTAGTCACTCTTGGAAATCCTATAGACTATCATGGCATCACACTGTTTATGTTCAAGTAATCCGTATTTTACTTAATTATGGCCCTAAAACACATGAGTAGGAATGGAAAAGAGGCACTAGAGCAAAAACCTTGGAGAGACAGATTAACTTTGTTACTATGTGGTAATCCTGCAGAGCATATGGGGGAAAAAACCAATTTATGCAGGGTTCAGTACTATCAAAGGATTCAAGCATCCACTGGGGGTCTCTGACCATATCCATCCTGATATAGGAGGGAGAAAATATATTTAAATTATTTCTTTTTCTCTTTGTTTTGCCTAGTACAAGTAGCTAAATTTGCATTAAGTTAAATGTATAACACAACTCCACTCCTTATTTGTGTACCCTCAAATGTATGTACATTGCATATCCTTAAAATATTTCTTGAAAATTCAATGTATTAGAACATGATTTCAATTTTTATGGACTGTCAATACTGTGAGCAAAGAATACTAGTTGCAAGCACCATTAACTTCCTAAAAAGCCAGAAAATGATTTTTTAAAATGATTTATAGAAGTAAAATATAACATAGTAGTTAAGAACATGAGTTTTGCTGGGTACAGTGGCACCCACCTATAATCCCAGTGGCTCAGGAGGCTGAGGCATGAGGTTGCGAGTTCAAAGCCAGACTCAGCAATGGTGAGGTACTAAGCAACTCAGTGAGACCCTGTCTCTAAATAAAATATAAAATAGAGCTGGGGATGTGGCTTAGTGGTGGAGTGTCCCCGAGTTCAATCCCTGGTACCCACTGCCCTGCCAAAAAAAGAGCATGAGTTCTAGCTCAGAGTGATGAGAAGACCGGTAGTTACAGCTCCTTGGGAAACTGAGGTACGAGGATTGCTTAAGCCCAGTTTAAGACTAGCCAGGGCAAACAATGACATTCTATCTCAAAAAAAACCCAAATAAACATGGGTTCCAATTCTAATTGTTTAATTTGTTTGCCCTATGATGTCTCTGAAAAGACTTCTCTGAGATTCAACTTCCTCATTTGTAACATGGAGATAATATTACCAACCTCATGGGTTTTGGTGATGAGGACATAAGAAAAGGACTTTGTCACAGTGTCTGGTTCTGATAAACAGCAATGTAACTGCTATCATTATGATTATGGTACTAGATTAAAGAAAATACTCATTCTCAGAAGAAATAATTTTCAAATTACTATACCTGGCAGTTTTTTCTTTTTTTTTTTTATTTATTTCTTTTTTTTTTTAATATTTATTTTTTAGTATTTGGCGGACACAACATCTTTGTTTGTATGTGGTGTTGAGGATCGAACCCGGGCCGCACGCATGCCAGGCGAGCGCGCTACCGCTTGAGCCACATCCCCAGCCCAGTTTTTTCTTTCTTATAGCTACTGAGGAAGTGCAACTTTCTATTTTAGACTCTTGGTGAATAGGATTTAGATAGACAAACTGATACACAGTAGAACTTCATGAAAAGTGTTCCTACATTCAAATTTTGAAATGTCACATTCTTCTACTCACATGTCTATGCAGCCTTCAGAACAGTCACACGAATCAGTGAACATGTCGGAAAAGTTGTTTAAATAATATGTTCGTGGCCATATAGTCTTTCTGTACTTAAATTGTGGAAGCTTTCTACTATCAATTTCATTACAGAAAGAAATAGGTACTGATTCCACTCCATTGCTAATATCCACATCAGAAACATTTTCTTCTTGCTTTGGGTAATTCCGAGTCAACTGAACATAGGTATTGAAAGAAAAGTTGTCTGTAAATAAAAAGTTACACTCTGTTTCAAGTAGGTAACGAAAGACTTCTTCCACATTTCGTAGACTTCTTCCACAAGGAGTTTTATAACTCACATGGAGTGCTGAAGAATGAGAATTTGTCTTTGCATGTCGTCTTTGGAAGTGACACTTGATTGGTAGCTGTAGAGGGTTTTCTCCCTTGAAAGGTGGTGGTGTTTTCATCAGACAGGCACCAGAACAACCATGACTTTGATAAGATAAATTCAAAGATGACTTTTCCCCCCTAAAGTCTATAACTTTATTTTCCAGAGGGAGAATTTCCTTATTTTCTGTAGATCTGTTAAAATAAATTATTTATTGGTATCTCAAAATTACAGTTCAATTCCACGTTTTAAAAAAACACTGCACACTGGACTGGAGCTATAGCTCAGTGGTAAGCGTTTGCCTCAAACGTGTGAGGCCCTGGGTTTGATGCTCAGCACTACATACATACATACATACATACATAAATAAATAAAAATAAAGATGCTCTGTCCATCTACAACTAAAATTTTTTTCCTTTAAATAATAATTAAAAAACACTGCAAACTAACATAAGAAGTAGTTACTATTATGTCTTGGATGGTAGTAAAATAAGCCAGACTGTGAAATAAACATTTTCACATGTTCTGCAGCCATTTAAAGATCGTACCTAATTCTGGAATACTGTACAGCACTGAATCAGTGGTACAGCATTTGGCTAGCATATGTAAGGCCCTGGATTTAATTCCCAGCAGCACAGGGAAAAATCTTAGAATTTAAAAAGCCAACACTAGGTGTTGACTCAGGTGAGAAAAGTCCAAATTAACCAAAAAATCCTTTTGGATAAGATTTTTAATAAGTTTTAATGTTTTGGAAATGCTACTGAATACTACAGCAGTGAATTTTGATTTCTCATGACAACCTTATGAGAGAAATGTAGGTAGGACAAGAGTAGAGGAAAGTAAATTCACAATCGAACAGGTTTTTTTTGAACAGTAAGAAGAGGTGTGTGGAGTAGAGAGGAAGCAAAAAGGTTTGTCTTTGGTTATATACTATTAAATATTTTCAGTGATCACAATAAAGACTAGAAAGTTTTAATTCATTTGTACAAGATGATAAGCTAGAAAGAACATACATAAAACATTATAGACAGGAGATCTAAAATTTAAAAACATTGTGATGAGTTATTAAAATGAACTTAAGAAGTGATGTTTATCATGAATAAACCAAATCCTGCATTTATATATTATTGCCTTAATTAAAATACTACTGTCTAAGCATAAAATGTGAGATAGTGCATTGGGTAAAAGTTTGCATGAAAAAGAATCTTGGTTGGGCATGGTGGTGTAAGCCTATGATCCCAATGGTGGGAGGCTGAGGCAGGAGGATCTCGAGTTCAAAGCCAGCTTCAGCAACTTAGTAAGGCCCTAAGCAACTCAGTGAAATTCTATCTCTAAACAAAATATAAAAAAGGGCTGGGGATGTGGCTCAGAGGTAAAACCCTGCTGGCTTCAATCCCTGGTCCCAAAAAAGAAAAAACAAACAAAACAAAACAAAACCCAAACCAAAAAATTAATATTTTAGTGATTTAGAGTGATCAACTCAAATTTTGTATTTAAAAAAAGAAAAATAAATTCCACATTAACAATGGGGGGGAGCTTAATTTAATATTTAATAAAATTAAGGCATTGACTTAAGAACTTTAAAGATGTGGTCTTGTTTTTTCAAATTATGTTCTTTACTCTAGAAGAAAATACTTTCACAGATTACCCTTTGGTAGTGTTTGAAGGTTTTGGTGCCAAAAATACCTACTAAAGATAAACAATGAGTATCAGAGTGTCAGATTTACTCTTGTACAATTATCACTTATGCTAGAAATGTTTACTGAAATTAGAGATAAGAGTAAAAAGAAAGGTCACAAAAATTTAGCCTATTCCCCAAAACTTTTTGACACTACTTTCTTTTTAGAACTGTTAAATTGCATTTAAAAAACTGAACTCAACCAAACATAGTGGCGCACACCTATATTCTCAGAGGTTGAGGTAGGAGTATCTTGAGTTCAAAGCCAGCCTTGGTAACTTAGAGAGACCCTAAGCAGCTCAGCAAGACCCTGTCTCTAAATAAAAAAGGGCTGCAGATGTAGCTTAGTGGTTAAGTGCTACCCTCCCTACTACCAAAACAAACAAACAATGACCCCTTTTGATACTCTAAATAATTTAGCTATGTAAAAAAAACAAAACAAAACAAAAACTAAAAAATCCAAAACCAATGCCAACTTGATTTCAGTGTATTAATAAAATACAGAGACATTTTAAGCAAAATTTTCCAAGACTGGAATACCACAGATATTAAATAAATAACCTGTGAAGAGACTCATGAAACTTCATCCTACATAAAATATTAAAATCTGCAACATTTAGGGTTTTATAGGAAAAAACCTTATTATATATTTTATCTATTCTGTGGAAAAGAATTAAGAAATAATTTATATACATACAGAAATGTACAGGCTGGTGAGAAGAAGTTTTCATATGATGTAGAGGAAAATGCATCTGATTTGTTTTCTAGTTCATTCCAAGTCACAGACTTATGATCTAAATGAAAAAAGTACAAATGCAAGCAACAATTATACCAACTTAAAAATCATTCACTAAAATTCCAAATAATCTCTCATCAAATAGAAATTTTGCCCATATAGAACCCTAAAATTTGCAAACATTATGATTTCAAGATTCCAAGGCAGGATGTAGTGGCACACACCTGTAATCCTGGTGGCTCAGTAGGCTCAGGCAAGAGGATCTCGAGTACAAAGTCAGCATCAGCAACTAGCAAGGTGCTAAGCAACTCAATGAGACTCTACTCTAAATAAAATACAAAATAGGGCTGGGGATGTAGCTCAGTGAGTGCCACTGAGATCAATTCCTGGTACCCCAAGCCCATCCAAAAAAAATTGAGCCAAAAGATTAGGTATAATTTTTAGAAGTGTTAAGAAAATAATATAGGATAAATTTTAAAACTTAGAAGATATTTCTTCTGAAGAAAACTAGTTTATTGGCTGGAGCTATAGCTCAGTGGCACTTGCCTAGCATGTGTGAGGCACTGGGTTTGATCCTTAGCACATAAAAATAGAGGGTTGAAAAAATAAATCTTAAAGAAACTAGTTTGGCTTTAATTTGATCTGACTTTTAATCAACTTTAATGTGAACATCAAGTATCCCTGTCTCTACCTATATTTTACAGAAAGTAGCATAGCTCTTCAAGGCTTATAGAAGATCACAAAATGGAAAATTTATACATCCTTTGTCTTTTCATTGTTCTACAACTATCTGTTTTGTGGAAGCAGAGGTTGAAGTATTTGGTTGTTTCTTTTAATATTTCTTCATACACATTTTTACAATTAATTCTATCTCATTTTTTTGCAGGGGGAGGGCAGTGCTGGAGATTAACCCCTGGACTTGCACATGCTAGATAAGTACTCTACTTCCCCCTAATTTCTATACTTCATAAGCTTACCCTCTAACGTGTCTATAATATACAAATAAAGCTGTACATTTGTTGACAAAAAGCTATAGATTCCCTGTTCATATTCTGTAAAGTGAGTATGTGGGCTATTCTTTGGCTTAAAAACTTTTCTTGAGCTTGGGATATAGCTCAAGTCTGTAGAGTGCTTGCCTTGCATGCACAAGGCCCTGGGTTCAATCCCTAGTACCACCAAAAAAAAAAAAAAAGTAAACATTTTTCTTAATGTGTTTTTTCCTATGTACAAATGGACTGTAAGGAAAAAAGTATCTTGTCCTAGACTGTTAACTTGCTGTTATAGAAAAAATTAATCAGCTGGATAAAGTAGCACCTTCCTGAAATTCCTGCAACTTGGAAGGCTGAGGCAGGAGAATTACAAGTTTGAGGCCAGCCTCAGAAATTTGGCAAGAGCTATCTCAAAATTTTAAAAAGGCTGGAGGGGTAACTTAGTGATAGAGTATCCCTGGGTTCAGTGATACACGCTGAAGCACCATAAAGTGTTCTATTTATGACCCACTGATATCTGCATAAGGACCATTGCAGTGTGATTTTCCAGTGAGGGAGGGAAAGTGGGCTCAGTTCGGAATATAGCATGGGCAAATGGGAATTAATAATCAAGGATCAGGATGGAATCAATGGATGGAAAATTACCAAGAGGAAACATAAAGCATCTAAAGCGGATTCTGAATAAACCAACCCAACAGGATTCTTGATGAAAACAGGCCAGTGGTCACATCTCACAGAGATGGTGGGAGATGAGGAACCTAATTAGATAATGAGGGTGATTAAATATCAAGGATGGGGGGCAAGCTCTTGTTAAAACTGTATTTTTAAGAAGTATAATATGGGCCAAGGAGAAGGTTCTGGTGCCTAACTGAAGTTTGATTAAGTAGTTCTTTAGTCTTACTAAAAACAACAGCAATAAAAATTTAAAATAATATCTAAAGTTAAACTCCAAGGCTTCTCCTTGGCTTACTGGAAAACAAATATCCCATTTTAATGGTCCAGGTAAAGAAAAAAGCTGAAAAAATGACAGCCAAAGAAATCCATAATAACTGACTAGAAATTAAATAAGTTTTACAAGTTAAGGATTTCTGATTTTTTCCTCAAATAATTTCTTTATAAAAGCTACATAAATCATATTAGCAAATACAAATGAAACAAACATATATGCATAGCTGAAGTAGAAGTTAATGAAAACATGGAGATTTAAAATTAATCATTAGATGAGGAAGTAAAGGGAAATAATTCAAGGAAAACAGTATCTAATCTTTTTATGGGGACACTGCAAAAAATATAGTTATATAGAAGCAAAAAAATAGAGGTGATTGGTGGTTTATTAAGGAGTCTAGGGAGTCCAGGTTCAATCCCAGATGGCTTATTATGACTTTGACACCAAGTTCTGTTGTTTCTCTCAGTCTCAGTATTTTTCAAAAAAATAAATGCTAGCATGAAACGTCTATTATCACCAAGTTTTTAATACTTTTATAAGCTAACAATGTAAATTACATAACTCTTCCCTAAGCATTTCTCTGCCACTGGCAAAGAGATATACTTTTAATAAACAGGTTACATTTCAGAAGAACTAACTATATAAAAAATGCAATTATAATATTTGGTATTTCTACTGATGAAATTATTGATTTAAAAGACCCAAACAAAAATTCAATTTATTTTTACCAGAAAATAAGTTGTTTCAGAGGGAAAAAATGGTTTACAATTAGTTTCTTGTTATCATCTCCTGCATTTAAAAGCTTCTCCCTTACAAAATTAATATAATTCCTTAAGGTACGTTGATTCTGAAAGGGTCTGGATGTACCACAGTGGCACAGAAAATACTTTGAGCTAAAAACATTTGAGAATCAATGAATGTAGTAAGAGGCTTTCTCTGAAATCCTCTTAAACTGTCTACATACACGTCTTCCAAAACAAAAACGAACAGATCCATTAAGTTATCATAATTCACAGGAGTTGTACCAACCAAGAATACATCACAAGAGAGCAGAGAAAAGGTGGCACTATATCCAGACAGACATTGTTACAAATGATCATATCTCCCATCTACTCTCCTCAGGGCCCATTTACCTTTCAAATGACTTTCATAAGTCATTTGTACTTCCCTAAGTGTCTCTTCTCCCTCCCACCCACTTTTTTTTGGGAGTGGATACTAGGCTTGAACTCAGGAGCACTCAACCACTGAGCCACATTTCCAGCCCTATTTTGTGTTTTATTTACAGCAGGGTCTCACAGAGTTGCTTAGCACCTCACCATTGCTGAGGCTTGCTTTGAACTCGCAATCCCCTCCTGTCTCACCCTCTAGAGCCACTGGGATTACAGAAGTGTGCCACCATGCCTGGTTCCTCCCACCCACTTCTAATAAGTCATTTCCCTCACTCTTACCTTTCCCCTGTTATGATGGCATAATAAGCTCTCAAATCTCACTGCTGTTTTGGGTAGCCACTTCTTTCTTTTTTTTTTTCTTAAGGTACCAGGGATTGAACTCAGGGGCACTCAACCATGAAGCCACATGGCCAGCCCTATTTTTGTATTTATTTATTTTTTTTTTACTATTTTTTTAGTTGTAGATGGACACAGTATCTTTATTTTATTTATTTATTTTATTATGTGGTGCTGAGAACCCAGTGCCTCACGCACGCAAGGCAAGCGTTCAACCACTGAGCTACAATCCCAGTCCCTGTATTTTATTTAGAGACAGGGTGTCACTTTGCTTTGTGCCTTGCTTTCGCTGAGGCTGGCTTTGATCTCTCCATCCTCCTGTCTCAGCCTCCTGAGCCGCTGGGATTACAGGCATGCACCACAGTGCCTGGGTGGGTAGCCACTTCTTTCTGTGATGATCCTATGTATGTAAAACAAAGAGTTTATACCTGTATGCCTTTTTTCCTGTTAATTTGGTATTTGCCAGTTTAATACACAGCTCCCATGCAGGCACTGAGATAAAAAGATTTTCCTCCCCTATGAATCCAAATATTATTGAAGGATACTGTGAAAGGAGGATATTTTCTTTAAGAACCTATTCTCCCAAAATGATATTTTTAGCTATCTGAAATTGTGAATACTTAAGAAAAACAAAAAGGGTCTTTAAAACAGACCAGTGATGTTGGACTACATTTTCAGAGACTTAATGGTCTTAAGGCTCCTTAACAGTGAAACAAAAATAAATTTTTCTAACAATACCCAGCACTATTAAAATCCAGTAAATGTTGTACTTCCTCAACATTTTAGCAAATTCATGATAAAGAAAGATTTATAAAATGGGGCTGTGATAAACTAAGATTTATGGAATAGTAATTCTGATAAAAGTAACTTTCTTCTAGTCTTAGTACATGTTGTTATACAACAAAAAGTATATATTTGATCTGCCCCAGTTCCTAACAAGAGTTCCTAAACCCTTGTATTTACCTTAAGCATAGGGTGATAGAGCACTTCTGTTTTAATAGTTGCTCTTAGTTCCTGGTTCCTGACACAGGAGCTTCTAAAACCCTGGAAATCTCCAGTGATGAGTATCTTTTGAATGCTGATAAGATGACTGGTGACTGCAGTCCCTGGAGAGCTTTAGGATGATGGCTGGTCTTCAGAAAGACCAAAGTATAATTACAGAGTTGGAACTTTCAGCCCTCAATACTTTTGCTTTCCTTTTCCAGGGAGTGTAGAGGGGCAAGAGATTGAGTCAACCACCAAAGACCAATAATTCAATCATTTGTGAATATGTAATCAGACCTCCATAAAACCCCTAAATAATGGGGTCTGGAGAATTTTCAGGTTGATGAAAGCATCTGCATGCTAGCGGGGTGGTACACCTCATAACTCCACTGGTGCACTTGGTGTCCTTCCAGACTGGACCTTGCCCTATGGAACTCTTCATCTGGGTGTTCATTTGTATCCTTTACAATAAACTGGTGTAAGTAAAACATTTTCCTGAATTCCATGAGTCATTACAGCAAAATTATTGAACCCGAGGAGAAAGCTATTGTGAGGACCCCTGATCTGTAGCCAAGTCAGTAGTCAAATCAGTCAGAAGCATTTGTGAATGGCATTTAAAGTAGGGGGCAAATCTTGTGGGGCTCAGCCTTTACTCTGTGCAATCTACACTAACTCTTGACAGTTAGTGTCAGAAATCAATTAAATTGTAGGACATCTTATTAGTGTCCACAGAACATGGGGCAATTATGTGGTATGGAAAACACACACATTTGGAATCAGAGTGTTGGAATACAGAAACAGTTTTCCTTTAGTATGTTATCTTTGAGTCTTCTAAACTGAATTTGTTTAGAGCTTTGAAGACTGATTGCTCATACCAATTTAGAAATTAAAAGTTTATCCACTGACTCACCTATACCAGAATATACCTTTCCAGTAGTATTCTTCACAGAAAGCAGATTTATAATTTATAATTCTGAGTCTCAGAATTTTATTTGCCTTCCCTATCTACATATGGGTAAGATTTTTCATTTAAAAGAGGAAACTGATTTTAGCAATGTGAATCTTTTACTTTAATTAACCTGACATAAAGGTGGCCTGTTTCATGGCAAGAAAATACCAGAGAATATTCTAGGATTAGGATAAGAAAAGTACATACCCTCTATTAATGTTGAATTGTTACTTATAGTGGCTTCATTCACTAAAATCATTGCTTGTATATATTCTGTCGAGGAGGGGAAAAAGGAATGAAAATAATCAGCATCATCCTCACCTTTATTCACAATACCAGCAATTATGTTGAAAATTTACATACTTTATCTCATTTAACCTTACAACTCTCCTTAGTGGTTCATTTTTTTTTTTGGAGACTGGGGATTGAACTCAAGGGTGCTTAACCACTGAGCCACATCTCAGCACTTTTTATTTTCAGATCATCTCACTAGAGGCTGGTCTTGAACTTGTGGTCTTCCTGAGTAAGCCTCCCAAATCGCTGGGGTTAAAGGCATGTGCCACCACACCCAGTCTAAGCGGTTCTTATAATTACATGCATTAGAGACAAACTGAGGCTCATGGACTAAGCTATTTATTCTAGGTTATACAGCTAGAGGTGGTGGAAATGGATTCAAACGTACATTTATCTGACTTATGAAGGTTTGAAAAGGAATATTAAAACAGTACTATGTTGTTTTTACTAATACATAATAGTAAATGTACATTAATAGTAAATTAATGTCTTAAGAACAGAAATGTCACCAGAAAGTATTAAAAATAGTTGGGGAAATTTTTGCTTTAAAACTGTGTGTCCTGCTGGGTGCACTGGCACACACCTGTAATGCCAGCTATTAAAAATACTGAGGCAGGAAGATGGAAGTTCAAGGCCAAACTACAACTAATGAGACACTGTCTCTAAAAAAAAAAAAAGAAAGAAAGAGTTAGCTTGATATGAGAATAAATAAATTCAGTAGTTATTTCTCATAAGTAATCAGAGTCATCCACTATTACAAAATGTCCACAGTTTTCCTAGCATTGGGGCACAAAAAAGAGCAAACAAATATTAGGTTGTCAGAAAACAAACAAAAACTATTTTACTTTTAAAACAAAGGACGCTGGAAGTAGAATTACACAGTATTGCCAGTGGCAACATTAGGCATATTGATATACCTTTATTTGTGGCAGACCTATTTTTGATCTTCTGCTTAAGTGACTGTAGCACATTTTGCACTTTTTCAAATACAAAGTCCACTTTTCCATCATCTTCCAGTTCCATCCAGAAAGTTTTTGCATCACCTAAAATAAAAATAGGTAGGTAAATAATCCCAGAGTTTAATAGAAACAGACTCATTTCCGCAGGGCATAGGTTATAGAAAAACCCACGTGGTTTCTAAATAGAATCAAATTCAATTGGTCTGTCACTTTCTTTGAGAAAAGAATTTTGGTCATCTTTCCTAATAAAAAACTAGAAACAAAGAATATGATTCAAGTGTCTCACCTGTTTCTGCTAACTTTAAAAATATATTGCAATATCAAAGTGCATAAATACATTCTACTATCATGTATAACTAATCAAAGCAAATTTTTTAAAAAAGAAAACACTGAAATAAATTTCAAATACAAGAACTGTGAATGACATTCTTTCTGGGTTAAAGGGAAAGAGTTATATTTGGTGAGTTTTTAAAAAAGTTTATGAAAACTCTCCCTTCTCCAATTTTAAGAACTACTGTCTAACTCTAACTGTAAAAGACTATCAGTGTGCTTAAGAGACAATATTGTGGGGCTGAGATTGTGGCTCAGCAGTAGAGCTCTTGCCTAGCAGGGGCAAGACCCAGGTTCTATCCTCAGCTGTCTCTAAATAACAAAATAGGGCTGGGAATGAGGCTGAGTGGCCTAGAGCCCCCCAGTTCAATACACAGGAGAGAGAGGGGAGAGGGGGGGAGAGGGGAGAGAGGGGAGAGAGGGGAGGGAGGGGAGAGAGGGGAGAGAGAGGGGAAAAAGAGAGGAAAGAGGGAGAGAGGGGGGAGAGAGAGGAGAGAGGAGAGAGAGGGGAGAAAGAGAGAAGAGAGAGGAGAGAGAGGGGACAAGGAGGGGAGAGAGGAGGGAGAGGAAGGAGAGGAGATATACATATACATATACATATATTGCAGGCTAACTTGTAGCTTAGTGCTTGCTTAGCATGCATGAAGTCCTCTGGGCTCAATGAGAGGAGACAGAGGAGAGAGAGAAGAGAGAGAGAGGAGAGAGAGAGGAGAGAGAGAGGGGGAGAAGGGGGGAGAGAGGCAGGAGAGAGGAGAAAGAGGGGGGAGAGGAGAGAGAGGAGTAGAGAGGAGAGAGGGGAAAAACAGGGAGACAGGGGGAAGAGAGGGGGGATAAAGGGGGGAAAGAGGGGGGAGAGAGGAGAGAGGAGAGATAGAGTGAGGAGAAACAGAAGAGGGAGGAGAGAGAGGACAGAGAGGAAAGAAAGAGGAGAAAGAGGAGATATACATATACATATATTGCAGCCTAACTTGTAATTTAGTGCTTGCTTAGCATGCATGAAGTCCTCTGGGCTCAATGAGAGAGGAGAGAGAGGAGAGAGAGGAGAGAGAAGGGAGAGAGAGGAGAGAGAAGGGAGAGAGAGGGGAGAGAGGGGGGCAAAGAGAGGAGAAAGAGAGAGACAGAGGAGAGAGAGGAGAGAGAGAACAGGGAGAGGAGAGAGAGGAAAAAGAGGAGAGAGAGAGGAGAGAGAGCAGGGAGAGATTTACATATACATATATTGCAGGCTAACTTACAGCTTAGTGCTTGTTTAGCATGCATGAAGTCCTCTGGGATCAATGAGAGAGGAGAGAGAGGGGAGAGAGAAGAGCGAGGAGAGAGAAGAGCCAGAGAGAGAGGAGAAAGAGAGAGGAGCGAGAGAGAGAGGAGAGAGAGGAGAGAGAGAAGAGATAGGAGAGAAAGAGGAGAGAGAGGGGAGAGAGGGGGAGAGAGGGAGAGGAGAGAGGAGAGAGGAGCGAGAGGAGAGAGAAGAGAGAGAGGAGAGAGAGGAAATATACATATATTGCAGGCTAACTTGTAGCTTAGTGCTTGCTTAGCATGCATGAAGTCCTCTGGGATCAATGAGATAGGAGAGAAGAGAGAGAAGAGAGAGGAGAGAGAGGAGAGAGAGGAGAGAGAGGAGAGAGAGGAGAGAGGGGAGAGAGGGGAGAGAGAGGAGAGAGAGAAGAGAGAGGGAGGAGATATACATAAACATATATTGCAGGCTAACTTGTAGCTTATTGCTTGCTTAGCATTCATGAAGTCATCAGGGCTCAATCCCCAGTACCTCCACAATGACACTATCTCTTGACTGGAAATGTAAGAAATTACTTTGCTTTAGAGTAGTAGTATAGCACACATAAAGGTGGCACTTTTAAGGTGTGAAGGATTCAATCTATAGTAGTATAGAGGTACATAGTTTCAGAACAAAACATCTCAATAACTTTTAAAATAACTAAATGTCCAATTTCTTTTCTTTCTTTCTTTCTTTCTTTCTTTCTTTCTTTTTTTTTTTGGTGTGTGCATGGTGCTGAGGATTGAACTGAGGACTTCATGCATGCGAAGCAAGTACTGTACTTCAGAGTACATCCCCAGTCCTGTCCAATTTCTTTTGAAAAGGTCTTTTATGTTAACTTTAATTAAACAAAGCAAAACTATGTTTATTTACAGGTAAGATTACATAAAGGAGCCAGTATTTCTGATGCTTGGCAACCTAATACCTTACTCAAAAATTTTAAGCATCTTTTCCTTGAGAAATAATCCTTTCAACGTTGAAAACAAATATAAGGAAGGCAATTAAAATCAGCAAAACTTAAATTCATTTACACTATTTCAAGGTAACAAAAATACCTAAGATGTTAAGCATAATTTATAAACTGTTAGAATTAATAAATAAAATTATTTAAGGGGCTGGGATATAGTTCAGTTAATAGAGTGCTTGCCAAGCATGCACAAGGCCCTGGGTTCAATCCCATGCATCACACACACACACACACACACACACACACACAAATTATTTAAAATTAATAGGCTATAAGTAAAGAAGGGACATAATGATAACTGCTTAGAAGGGTCATTTGAATAGCTACTGGGAGGATTAATGAAAACAGATCCCAAACTAGTTACCAAAAAATATATATTTTCCTTAAACAAAACAACAAACCTTCAAATTTAGCAAAGAAGGCAGAATCTTCATAAGGAATGCAGTACAGATCTCAGAGTACCAAGCTCCACTGGGAAAGTTACCTTTCCCAAAGGGGATCTCTGGCTAATTAGGGTAGCCATCACTAAGTGGCCTCGGGAGGAGTTTTGTTTCCCTGTTAACATTCTGTCCTGATAACGTACTGCACAAGAAGGCTATTTTTAATTCCTCATAGCACAATTCAGACAAGGTGTCAAGATTTGAAACAAATTCACTGTGGGAGGAAAAAAGGGATAACAGGTGGTACTTAAAGGGCAGGTAGAGTCATGGCACAAAGGGTCTTGGGTGCCATGCTAAGCAACTTTACTTTCATGTGGAAGGCTATGCAAGAGTTGTAAGCATCTTATGATGTATTTAGATATGTTTCTTTAAAAAAAAATTGCACAGATGGCAGTGGGAGAAGAATAGTTTCCATCTTTCTGTCTCAGGCAACCATATGGAAGGTAATGCTATTCATTGGGGTAGAAAATGAAGGTAGAGGGGGTGCTGGGGTTGTGGCTCAATGGTAGAGCATACTCGCCTAACACATGGGAGGCCCTGGGGTCCATCCTCAGCACATGAATGAATGAATGAATGAATAAATAAATAAATAGCATTGTGTCCAATCACACTAAAAAAAAAAAAAAAAAGGCAAGAAAATGAAGCTGGAGGGATAAGTAAGATATTCAAGGAGGGATAGGCTCCTTATGCATTCAAGGTGTGCAGGCTGTAAAGTAAGATCTGATTCAGAAATACAATTTTTTAGCCCACAGCATGAACATTCTTGCTGAAGTCACAGGGCAGGTTTAATTCTTCATGGAGAACATGTTAAGAAGTGTCTCCTGTAAAATACCAACATGTAGGAAATGAATAGGAAAAGGAACCATGATGTTTGAGAAGATAGAAGGGAAACTCAGGGGAGTAGTATCTAAGGAATCAAGGAAAGAACAGGAATAGTGATTAACAAAATAGTGTTTTTCCAGATGTTATTGGGATTAAATCCAGCATTGCCATTTATTAGCTATGTGACCACATCTGTAAAATGGATACAAAAAATAGCCAGTATTTCAAAGAGCTGATGTGCAGATCAGAACATGGCAACTGGCAAGAGATTACTGTACACTTTTAAACAAAAAGTATAGTCTTAGGCAACAGGAGTTAAGCTTTCCATTATGAACTTTTAGAGGTCATTTAGCCTAGGGAGAAAAATATTTTATGAAGTAGATCTTTCCTAGAGTCCCTAAATCATTAAGGTTTTCACTGATATAAGCAGCAGCAGCACCACCACCACCAACAACAACAAAACACTGCTTTTAGGCAAAACTACTGTTCAAAGCACTTAAAATTGATTATTGTTATTATGCTTCCTTTCATAAATACAAGTCAGTCATTCAATCTAGGAATTTATCTTGTTAGAAGTGGACATCTAGATGGGAAAGATTTTAAAAGTAGTTTAAAACAACTTTTAAAGAAAACAGTATATATACACAATAGAATACTATTTAGCCATAAAGGATAAAATCTTGTCATTTAGGACAATATATGGGTGGAAATGGAGGATATTATGTTACGTGAAATAAGTCAGGCCGAGAAAGAGAAGTTCTACACAATCTCACTCAGTATGGCATCTAAGAAACGTGTCTCCCCCCCACACATAAACACACTTTCTATCTCCTTCCTTTGTTGTTCTTTTTTAAGTTTTTGTTTTTTGTAATACTGGAGATTAAACCCAGAGTCTTGCACATGCTGGGCAAGCACTCTACTACTGAACTACATTCCCAGCCCTTTTTATTTTATTTTTTAAATTTTGAAATAGGATCTTTCTAAGTTGCTGAGGCTGACCTTGAGTTTGCAATCCTCCTACCTCAACCTCCCGAGTAGCTAGGATTTCAAAATTTCAAATTAAAAACATTACAAATCTCAAAAATTGAGAGTAGAATAGTGTTTACTAGAGTCTGGGGAGACTAGGAAGGAAAAAAAGGAAGAGAAATGTTTGGTCAATGTACTAAGTTGCAATTAGGGTGGAGAAATAAATTTTGGTGGTCTACTGCACAGAGTAGGGTGACTATAGACAATGATAACGCACTGTACATTTCAAAAGTGCTAGAAAAATCTTTGAATGTTTTCACCACATACGACAAATGTTTGAAAAGATACATACCCAAATTTCAACATTAAACAATGTATACATGTATCGAAACATCACAGCATACTCTACAAATATGTACCTTTTATGTTCATTAAAAAATTAACTAGAAGGGGAGGGAGTATGGGGGCAAGAAAGAAGGTGGAAGGCGATGGATGTCATTACCCTAGATACATGTATGATTGCACATATGGTGCGGTGCTACACCATGTACAACCAGAGAAATTGAAAGTTGTGCTGCATTTGTGTACAATGAAATAAAATGCATTCTGATGTCATATATACCTAACTAGAATAAATAAATAAATTTAATAAAAATAGAAAGAATTAACTAGAGCCAGGTACGGTGACACACATCTATAATCCCAGTGGCTGGGGAGGTTGAGGCAGGGGGATTGCCACATTTGAAGCCAGCCTCGTAACTTAGTGAATCCCATGGCAACTTAGACCTCAAAATAATAAAAGAAAAAGGACTGGGGATGTGGCTCAGTGGTTAAGAGCCCCTGAGTTCAATCCCTGGCACCAACCCCTGCAAAAAAATTAACTAGGTTTGGGGTTGTAATTCAGAAGTAGAATGCTTGTCTATTGTGCACAAGACCCTGTGTTCAATTCCCAGCGCGCGCGCGCGCGCGCACACACACACACACACACACACACACAAAAGAAAAAATAAAAAGTAAATTAATTGGGCTGTGGGTATATCTCAGTGGTAGAATACTTGTCTGGCACTTTCAAGGCCCTGGCTTGATCCTTAGTACCATACGTACAAAACAAAAAAATCAACCAATTAAGTTAAAAGTCATGCTAAAAAAATAAAATTAAAATACCTTTTAATAATCAGCATTAAAATCTTCTACAGGAACCAGGGCAAGTGATACAACCCTATAATCCCAGCTACTCAGAAGACTGAGGCAGGAGAATCGCAAACTCAAGGTCAGCCTCAGCAACTTAGAAAAATCCTATTTCAAAATTTAAAAAATAAAATAAAAAGGGCTGGGAATGTAGTTCAGTTGTGGAGTGCTTGCCCAGCATGTGCAAGACTCTGGGTTTAATCTCCAGTACTACAAAAAACAAAAAATTAAGAGAACAATGAAGGAAGGTGATAGAAAGTGTGCCTATGTGGTGGGGGTAGACATGTTTCTGAAGGCCAGGGCTGCACTTCAGAGCACTTGCCCAGCACTCAGAGGCTTTGAGTTCCATCCCCAGCACTGCAAAAAACAAACAAACACACACCCTTCTGGAATCATATACAATTCCATCCTGAACTGAAGAGAAGTGGTGATGCTAAAAGACAGTATTTGGGACTTATTAAATTTGGTTTTTAGTGACTATTATTTAAAACTTCTTAGAAATGCCAATATGTTATTACTAAATTATTCCGATAGGAAATACTTAAAACAAAATTACCTAAGAAGTATCATATTAACTCGTTAATCTTAGAATTAATTAATAAAGAAGACAATAGCAATATAATTTAAGGAAACAGACTGGGAGTACAGTTCAGCTCCTGCTGATATATAAGGCTATAGATTGGATCCCAGCACCACCACCCTTGAATTAATTTGAGAAAACAAAGTCAATCAAATACAACATTCACTTCTATGTGAAAGAAATGTCACTAAGCAAATCATATTTATTTGCTCTAGGTTTTAAAAAATACTGTTCCTATATCTTTGTTATCTCATACTGTTTAGCTTTAATTCTCATTAAAATAGCACTTGTTCTTCATGTCTCTCTGATCATTTTTCTGTCTTCTTGCTATGTAAACCTTTAATATTGAGCAAGAAGAGGTACCAAACTTTCTGATGAATCAAACTAATAAATCCAATTAACATCTTCTGTGCACCCTGACACTAAATGACTAGTCCTAAAAAGAAACATCACAGTGTCTTTGATTTCAATTGTAGCCTATGTGGATGACAACTACAATGGGGACAATTTTAGTTTCTTGCTGTTGATCTTATTTGTATATTGTATGCATTCTCAGAGTTACAATCCTGGAAATATTTGAATATAATTCACTATAAATACTTAACAAAAAATACAGGAGTAGATACTTGAAGACTAATTTTGCTACTTGTCTTCAGAATTGAAGGATACCATCTGATAACTATTCTCAGTAGTTATCATGCTAGTATATGCTAGTACCAAACATGCTGGTACTTTCCTATATAATTAGGTACAAGAAAATAACCATAAAGCAAGAAGTATAACAGCTTATATGTAGTTATACTATATGTCTCCCAAACTCAAAGACAGTCTTTGTAAAAGGGTAATATTCATGAATCATATTGATGTGAATTCATTTACTAGATGAATATTTATGGAACACTTACTAAATGCACTGATAATGATCTCAGGTCACAGAAACATACATTATTCTAGACCTAGAGGGTATCAAAAGCCACAGAGCTGGGCATGGTGGCGCACACCTGTAATCCCATCTGCTTGAGAGGCTGAGTCAGGAGTATTAGGAATTCAAAGCCAGCCTCAAACAAAACAAAACAAAACAAAAAAAACCACATTGTGTTCTATTGTTACAAATATATTTTAATATGTGGCTTTAAAATTCTTTTTTTTTTTTTTTTTTGGTACCAGGGATTGAACCCAGGGGCACTTGACCACTGAGCCACAACCCCAGTCCTATTTTGTGTCTTATTTAGAGACAGGGTCTCACTGAGTTGCTAAGTGCCTCACTGTTGCTGAGGCTGGCTTTAAACTCACGATACTCCTGACTCAGCCTCCTGAGCAGCTGGGATTACAGGCATGTGCCACCGCCTGGCAGTGCATAGAATTTTAAGATAATAATGAACCTTAATGTATGCAAATTTTAGAAAAGTCATTTAGGAGGTCAGGGATTCCAGTAAGGAATGTAGTCTATGAAGACAATCTAATTGTAATAACAAATAGACCACACTAAATAGCTGGGTAGAAAAGGTGCTGAACTTAGAATAGGTTTACAATTCTGATAAATCTATACATATACACTGGAATTGGTCAGTTAAATAAACAGACAGCAGACAGTGGGTACCAAGTTTCTTACTATTGGAGTAGGAATTTATAGATTAGCAAGGACAGGAGACTAGAATGATACATGTGGTAATGGACTAGAGTTGAAAATAATATACTTTTATGTTTAGGTTAATATACATGTAACTATAAATGTTTAGATACATGTGTATATGTACATATCTGATAATGCATGTCAGGTGAGAAAGTCTATAAACAAGGACACATACAACGAATATACTTATGCCCAGATATTGATTTCTAGTACCATTCTCCAATAAAAGGAACCATTCAAGGAATAGCTAATTCTAGGACTGTTTTAAGAAATATACAAGGTGAGCATGGAACATCTTCTAGTGACAGAAAATTAAAAAGTGCTATACAACAAAAATAAGTAAAAAATATCTACACTGATGGGGATAAGTCAAAGGACATAAGAGCTATCTTAAACAGTTCCCAAGGGCCAAACCTGGGGCAACTCGAGGAAGAAAATACATAAATTAATACTGAATTGTAACCCAAATGTAAAATAAGCACCCATCAGTCCACTTATAAATAAATGATTACTTGAACAAATAAATGGGGAAAAAAAAGACAAAAATTTCTCTTGCAAGAGAATTCCAATTTGTTCACACAGATATTTTCCTCTCAACCTGAGGGAGCATAAATCCTTACTTCATAAGTGTGGGCTGCACATATTGATTTACTTCCAAAGAGTACGGTAGGGGATGGGAGGGGGGGGGGAAAGAGTGACTTTTTAGTAGAGAAACCTAGCAACACACCTAAATTAGCCAAGTAATCAAGCTCAATATCAACAGAGAGAAATCATGTTCAAAGCATGTACCCTTGTTGTGATGTGTTGAAAATGGCACTTTACCTCTGTAATCTTACTCCTCCAAATCACAGTGTAATCATAAGAAAAACGTCAGACAATAATTACAATAGAGGGGCATCAAATAAAAGTATCTGGATACAAAATCAATAACAAGAATAATCTGAGAAACTACCATAGCCAAAAGGAGCCGAAAACATGAAAAGGAAATAAAATGTGGTATAATGAATGGAATCTTAGAATGGAAAAAGAGGTTACATAAATACTGAATAGACTATGGAGTTTATTTAATAATAATGTATCAATATTGGCTTATTAATCATAACATTTATCATCTAAATGAAAGATGTTAATCATAGGTGAAACTGGGTACTGGATGTATGGGAACTCTCTCAACCTTATCTTCTTGATTTTTCTGTAAAACTAAGAACATCTTAAAAGTAAAGTGTATTTTAAAACAACATTAGAGTTCTGATTTAAAATTCCTGATTAGCAATTAGGTATAAAGGCAATCAAAACTGGTAGCTACCTGAGGAAAAAAGTCCTTAATGTCCTCTAATTCAGAAAAGTCAATTAATGAAAAACCTTGAAAATTCCACAATTCGTCTATAAACTTTAAAGTTTAACAACAAGTTCTTCAAACCTACCATTTTTTTCTTCCATCTTTTGAAGTTGTTTGTTAATATAAAATTCTTCAAAATTAAGTTATCAAAAGATTGATATCAATCACTTTGATTGGAGAATATTCCTGGAATCCAATTGTAGTCTTTATGAAATCTGTAGTCTTCACAACATTATGCCATGTTTAACCCAATATTCTTTGATGTTTGAATTTTCAAATAGAAACTGGTTGAAGAAACTGTCATAAATGACCACTAGTCCAACCAAAAGACAGGTCCATGCATCTTCATCGAGTGATAGTTGTATCAGATCATTGACAATATGTTTTTAAAGATAAAAACCAACTCCATCTTTTGGTCCTCAAAGTACATGAAACATTCTGTAACAAAAACAATAAAGAATGGTATATATTTATAAAGAACAAAACACACAGGGAAAAAAGATAGTTTTAACAACAGCTCTTTTAAAATAGCATAAACTATTACAAAATGTATAAATTACCAAAATTAGGAAAATTACTGAGCATCACCCATGATATTATCACCCATATAATATGGCCATTAACGTTTTATTACATTAATAACCAGCAAACTATTCTCATTTTATACTTTGTAAAAATGTTTAAAACAGGGATAATGATGCTAACTACCTTATAGGTTATTGTATGGATAAGACTTAATAATCACTTAGAATAGTGCCTGACAGAAGTGAAGGATTCAGTTAATACTAGCAATTATTACTATCCTCTCAGTATGTAATTTTTAAAAGTATAGAGTATAAAATTTTTATACTTTTTCACTAGTAACATCATACACCCTCCCACATCATTAATATTTTTACATGACTCAATGGTTATATACTTCGGTCAATAATCCACACATTAAAGTATGTTAAGAGCCAGGTGCAATGGTGCACATCTATAATCCAGCTACTTGGGGGGCTGAGGCAGAAGGATTACAAATTTGAGGCCAAACTGGGCAACTTAGTAAGACCCTGTCTCAAAATTAAAAAAAAAAAGGGGTGGGGGGGGCTTGGGAGGTAGCTTAGTGGTAGAATGCCCGAGTTCAATTCCTAGAATAAACAAAACAAAAACCAAATCCAGGGCTGAGGTTGTAACTCAAAGGTAGAGCATTTGTGAGATCCTGGATTCAATCCCTAATACTGGGGGGAAAATATAGGATTTTAGTAATTAAATTTTAATAAATTATTAATTACTAATGTAAATAAACCTCTATTTCAGACATGGAAACATTTTTAGATTATTATTTTCCAGTATAACAAATAATGCTGGAACAATATATTTATGAGTATCTGATTATTTCCTTAGGATATATACCTAGTGGTAGAACTAATAGATCAAAAAGGAATCAGGGCTGGAATTGTGGCTTAGAGGTAGATTGCTTGCCTCGCATGTGTGTGGCACTGGGTTTGATCCTCAGTACCATTTAAAGTAAAGACATTGTGTCCGCCTGTAACTAAAAAATAAATATTAAAAAAGAATGGAATCAAAAGTTGTATCCTCAAAATGTTAGTTAACATCTTGAGAATCACCAAGAATTTTGATAAATTATTCTGTCATTTCCATAAATCATAAAAATATTGGAAGACTTTAAAACATATATAGGTGTGTGTGTGTGTGTGTGAGAGAGTGTATTAGATAGACAGTCATGCTGAAAACAAAGGAACTCTCTATAGACCAAGTCTGTGAGGCCTCTCTGGGGAAAGGAAACAGATGAGAAGCTGCAGGGATAATGGCAACCATTCACAACACAAGAAGATGCACAAGAAACTTCTCAGGACAGATAAGTGCTCAAGTAAGAATCTTCAAACATCTGAAGAAGGCTATCCCATAAAAATGAGACTTCACAAGCTCATTATACAAGAATTAATACAGAATACTGAAAATAATTTTAAAACAAATGTGATTATATTTAATATCCTCAAAGAACTAAAGAAGAAAACCTCATCCATGAATTAACATAGTTTTGAAAACTAACCAATTAGAAATCTAAGACACAAAAACAATTGCTAAAACAAATTTAATAGATGGCTGAATAAGAGAACAAACTCACATGAACAGCTAATTAGTAATCTGAAAGCCTGAACTGAGCAGTTTATGGAAAACCCAGAGCAAAGAAACAAGAGGAAATACAAAACAGAGAGAATGTACATGAGACAATATTGACTAAGAAATTCTCAGAACTGAAATACAAATAGGACCACCGAGTCCACTGAGTGCTAACTACGACACAATCTGTAATATAAACCAGTAAACAATCTGTAGTAAGTTTTAGAATATACATAATAAAGGCAGTGTTAGAAATTTTAAGAAAAATCTACATTATCTAAAAGGAACATGTATAAGATTGGTAATGAGACTTCTCGCCAGATAAACCAAATACAAAATGTTAAAGGAAAGTAGGTACGCACTCATAATTCTATTTCTAGCCAAGATCTTTGATACCAAAAGAAGTTCTCAACAAATTCCAAAAGAATTATGTGACATAGATCTGTCACTGAATATAAGTAAAAATCAAAATTAACAACATTAAGTTAAGCTCTACCTTACACTATCTCTTGAAATTTATAAAAAACATGTCTACAGCCATACCACCTGAACGCGCCGGATCTCGTCTGAAATTTATAAAAAACAAATTTCCAAATAACTTATTGTTTACAGAGGACAGCAAAGCTTTAAAAAATATCAATATTCAAAAATTTTTAAATATTGAGAAATGGAGATCAGTTGAAATAATACATATCAAACCTGAAGAAAGGGTTCTGTCAGAACAACATACAGAGAAATAGTTAAGCCTTAAATGAGTTTTTTCATTAGAAAATGAGAAAATTAAAATTATTCACATAATAGTTAAATTGAAGCTGAGAAAAGACAAACAAAATAAACAATAAATGAAAGATATATCTGTGTATACACTAAAAAGATTTTTAAACACGCTAAAGTTCAAACAACATTATAGCAATACACATGTGAACTGAAATTTTCGAGGAAAATATAAAATACCAAATGGGCTCAAGCCAGGCACAATAGTGCACACCTGTAATCCCAACAGCTCAGGAGGCTGAGGCAGGAAGATCATGAGTTCAAAGCAAGCCATAGCAATTTATCGAGGCCCTCAGCAACTTAGCAAGACCCTGTCTCAAATTATAAAATATGAAAAAGGGCAAGGATGTGGCTCAGTGATTAAGAACCCCTGGATTCAATTCCTGGTACCAAGAAACAAACAAACAAACAATAAAAGCCCCACAAAAAAATCCAAATGGACTCAAGAAGTAAAATACCATCTAGATAAATAAGCATAAAAAGAAATGAAAACAATAAAGATCTTGGGCTGTGGGCACAGTAAAACAACAATTCAAACAAACAAACAAACAAAATAACCAATAAAGATCTAACCAGAGTTGCAGGCCACACAGTCCCATCCCCTCATTCCCAATATAGCAGGTCCATGAAGTTGTAGATGAACTGTACAAAGCTTTCAAGGAATGCAATTTTCTATTCTATACAAACTGTTTCAAAGTAGGAAAAATACAGGAAGATATTCAACTCTTTTTATGAAATTAGTATAATCTGAATTGTAGGAAAAAAACTCAAGGCCCAAATCACTTCTGGGTATAAATTTAAAAATGTTAAATAAAGGTATCCAGCAGTATAGTAATATTAGAGTAAGACTCAGGAATACTCAAGAATTTTAACACTGGAAAAGTTATCAGTTCAAATTCTTACATTAACAGATAAATGGAGGAAAACTGTGGTCTTAGATGAAAAACAAAGGAAAAATTTTCAACAAAAATTAATCACTTTGAAGCCTGGCATGGTTGGCACATGACTGTAATCCCATGCACTCAGGAGGATTTCAAGTCTGAGGCCAGCCTCAGCAATTTAATTAGACCTTGCCTCAAAACAGAAAAATAAAAAGAACTAGGGACATAGTACAATGGTAGAACAACCCTGGTTTCAGTCCTAGTACATGGCAAGGAAGTGGAGATAGGGAGTCAATTACTTGGGGAGAGTGAGGGTGCATAGCAAACTAGGAATAAAAGAGAACCTCCTTAATTTGATATAGACTATCAAAACCTGGTAGAAAAACTTTTAAAAAAATTATATAGGATATCAATCAGGTGTGATAATACATGCCTGCAGTCCCAGCTACTTGGCAGGTTAAGTCAGGATCACGTAAACTGGACAGCATGGGTAACACAACAAGACTCCTGCTTGTTTAAAAAAGCATGGGTAACACAACAAGACTCTTCTCTTGTTTAAAAAAAAAAAAGGGGGGGGGGGGCTGGGGGTGTGGCTCAAGCGGTAGCACGCTCTCCTGGCATGCGTGCGGCCCGGGTTCCATCCTCAGCACCACATACAAACAAGGATGTTGTGTCCGCCGAAAACTAAAAAAATAAAACAAAATAAAAATTATCTCATAATAAAGAAAAAAAAAAGATCTAACCAGAGTTGTTCAGGGTATATAAAGAATTCCTTAAATCATTAAGGTCATCCTATAGAAAATCAGGTAGTTTTAAAAATAAACTATAGTAATTGATATAAATTATATAAGTTAATAAACATGAATAGCTATTCCAACATCAAGTTAGAGAAGGAAAATTAAGAGTCATTTTTAGTCTTCAGATGTGCAAAAATTAAGATATTATTTGGGGGTTGGTCTAGACTGTAGGGAAACTGAACTCTCAAACTATTGTTGAATGGGTAAATTAGTAAAGACATTTTGGAGCAAACTTGGTAGGACCTACTAAAACTATGTTCATAACTTAAAACCAAATAATTACATTTTTAGGTGTATATCCTTCAGAAATAAAACATCTGCATAACAAAACACAAAGACATTCCCTGCAGCAATGTTAATGTGAAAAACTGCAAACAACCTAAAGTCCATTAAGAGAACAAAGCACATATCAAACAAAATAGAATTTAATGTGAAAACCACTAAAAGAAGCAGAAAGATTTCACATTAACAGAACAACTCAGACTTACACTGGAGTACTACTCAACAGGTATAATAAATGATTTCTAAATAACATGAACAATGAATAACGTGTATGTGCGGCAAAAACATTTTGGAGAGAAGAAATAAGTTGCAGAATGATTCCATTAAATACATATATGTGACTTCAGAGACTAAACTACATATAAAAAGATTTGAAGGCTCTGTACCAGTCTTAAGTGCGATGAAGGGCAGGGGAGTAAAAGCATTCAGGGATTCTGGATCTAGCTCTTTATCTGTTAAGGTTCTAATTTTGTCGAGGGAGAATGTAAAAGTGTACTCAAGTGTACCATTTTCAGAAAGGAATCATCTATTTTAGTGTGTTACTGCACTGCCTTCTAGAAAGAGCCTACCAACTTATATTTCCACCTAAGTACACTAGGAGCTTTTAAAAAAAAGCTCTCTCCAGTGCAGTTCACACCTTCCTAAAATTTGAAGATAAGTCAATTTACAAAACCCTTACTGAAAAATATTAGCAAGATGCAGGAAATCATAAACAAAAAAATTTAAATCACTCACAAATTTATCCTCCAGAGACAGACGATGCTAATATTTCAGGATAACTGGGATTTTAAAATTTGTTCCCTTTTTTTCTTGTCACTTTTTCATTTTTGAAGAAAAATTAAGTCAGGTCTCCTTTGCTTCAATGTATAGTTCCTTTCCGTTTTTAAAAGGATAACACAATGTGACCATTCCTCTTGGTTCCCTATTTTAATTATGAGGATGGTAAAGACATTTGAGTATGAATCACGTGTTGGGAACGTTTTTCTTTTCCGGATGAGGAAGCTTAGGATGTCACATTGTAAGTGGCACATAATTAGGGAACCAGACAGCCTGGTATCAAGAGCCCTTGTTTTGTTTACTCTACCGCCTCAAAGTTAGCCCTCTTTGCTTGGGCTCCTTCCTTCATATATGCAGAACTCACTGCAGATTTCCACACGGTAAAGAGCGGCAAATTAAATACTGTTCCGTGCTGTTTTTATTTATTATGGCTACTGAAATCAGGAGCTCCTAGGATCTAATATAAACTCCGTGGTATTGGATAAAATGACTTCACTTATTTAAGGCTGTGTCATCTTACCTGGGAAATGGGTCAGTAGTTAATCCTTCAAGTTCTGCTTCTGGATTTTATACTGTAGATCATTTCCTATGGCCCCTTTTAGATCCTCGAGTTCCCAGCTGATCAGGAATCACCTCTCATTAAGTTGTGCACCGTAAGATAGAATGAAATAGGGGTTGAGAACTCAAAGCAACCGCTGTCCCTTCTCCAGTCCGGGACTGCACGTGGGTGCAAAGGAAAGGGAGAGTGCACTGGCTGGCATGCAACCTCTGCTCAAGCGGCGGAGGGCTCCAGGACGTTTTTTGCAGGAACCGTCAGGGAGCTACCCACTGCCGTGCCACAGATACACCGACTCCTCTGCGTTTTCCAAGCCGCCCGCCAAACCGGAGGGTGGCGCACCGCCTGCTCCGTTAGCTAGGCTGGATTCGCCTGCGGATCAGGTTCTCCAATTTCTCGTCGCGGAGACTACGCGGCTTCAGGTGCCCTATGGCCAGGAAGTACTTCACCGTTTATTACACTTCACCTCCGCCCGGGAGGGGCAAGCGCGCAACCTCTAACATCCAAGCCATGCTACAGCGATCACTAACTGGGAGGAGTCGGAAACCAAAAGCATTCCACCACCTGGCCCGGAGCCCATTGGTCGCACTCCCCACCGGGTCTACACCTCAGCAGCTTCGCTCGCTGAGCACACCGGCTAGGCGGCGGCTTCCCGAGCGCGCCGCCTCCTGATTGGCTGCCAGAGCTCTGGTCTTGTCTCGCGCTTCCTGGACGGGCCAATGGAGTTACCCGTAGTCTAAAGGCCAGGATCGCTGGAGTGGTGGCGCAGCTGTTTCCTTCGGTATGTGTGAGGCTGCCATCTTGTGTGTGGCTAGAAATGGTCTTTGGGGTGGTTGAAAGCTTATTTAGCAGCTGTCCTTGTAGAAGAGTTCTGGGGGAAGAGACGGGAGAGAGGAGGGACCTGAGGGAAGAAACTTGGCGCCTTCTTTCTTGAAAGCACAGGTTTCTTGGATCGAGTTTCATCCCGGGCTAGGGGAAGTGAGCGTGGTGGTGGCTGTGGTGATACCAAGCTTTGGTTTGTTGGTCGTTGTTGGGTTTAGTGGGGTTGTCGTGCCTCTACTTTGAATTCTTGGTTTCCGAGAGCTGTTTCTCAGCAGTCTGATCAGAAAAGATTCTGACCGTTCGACCCCCTTTATTGGTAAAGGAGGCTGGCTGATGGACTGCAGGATTCAGAAACCAAAAAAGCTGCTAATGGAAGGGCAAAGAGGGAGATGCCTCACCAGCTGTTCTCAAATTCGAAAAAGAACCCTTCATTTTTTTTGTTGTTTGCTTCAGTGGCTGCTAAACCGCGGTTCTTAGGAGTTGCTATTTGTCTGAGGCCGTCCTTTGTATTAGGGTTCTGCGTTTACATAAAAATTGATTAGCGTGCAACCAGCATTCCTGCAGCCTTTTTGTTTTGTTTTGTTTAAGCTAAAAGTGGTAGTCTCTGCAGAAACAGGGAAACTGAAAGAAGAATTTTTTCAAATCTTTGTTTCCCCGGTTTCAAGGTGTTCTTGAGTTATAAATCTTTGCATTTGCTGGGCCATGCTTGGTTGCTTAGTCATGGAGCAGGAGGAGGCATTTGTAGGGGAAAGCACCTTCCGAGTTCTTTGGGGTTGGGAGGGGAGAAAAAAAAAAGGAGAATTACCTCGTTTTCTTTCTTTCTTTTAAGTTTTTACCTAGAGAAAACACCTGGTATTTTCGTTTGAGGAAAAAAAAAATTATTGGATCTGAACCAAGCCGACAAAAGAGCAATATTTTTGTGATTAACTTTAGCTGTTTAAAGTGCATGAAAAGAAAGTGGAGAAAGATATCTGCTTCCAGTTTAGTGTTCAGTTATTCAAGGTTAACTGATGACCCTATTAAGTCTACCGTACATGATGTAGGCATTTTGCAGGAACAACAACAACAAAAAAGTAGTTGACACTCTAAATTAATTTTGTGTTTGAATTCATGAACCTTATAAAACCTAAGTTGCAATAATTCAAATATCAGTAATTTTGTGTCGATAGCTAAAGAACATGTTAACACATTAAGTCCCAAGTTTTCAATTCAGCAAACAATTGTTACAAAGTTATCATAAATGGTATATTTGTCAAGCAATTTTAAGTTTTTTTTTTTTTTAAACTGTTCCACATCGGGAATGATGGAACAGAATGGGTTAATATTATATTATTATAAGTTAATATTATCAAGTTGGAGAAAAATGAATAAAAAACATCATAGGGGTTGGGGATGTACTTCAGTGATGCAACCACTACCTGCTTGGCATGCTGGAGGTCTTGGATTGGATGCCCAGCAGCAAAAAAAAAAAAAAAAAAAAAAGAAGGAAATGTAATCCGAAGTCAGCAAATGTATTCTAAAACATTGGTATCTCATTCACCTGTTGTGAATGCATATTAGACCATATATTGTTGAATTAAAAAGTACAGTGATTGAGAAATATGGATATTCATTTTTTAAGCCTAACTGAAAAACAATTTTTTAACCTTTTTGGAAAACTTGACTTTCTGTTTGGACTAAATTTATTTGTAACTTCCACTTCACACACATAATATTAAGGACAAGTTTATGATCATTTTTCTGTTTCAGGATTTCACAATAATCTGAAGATCTTTAGAAATTTTTTTAATGGCGTTTTGTATGAACTATGTTAAATGATTAAGTAAAATCAGTTTTCACTTAGATTGATAAGGTAGATATGATTTTCCAGTGCTATACCATTGAATGTACAAATTTAGATTTTCCCATTATCTAGTAAAGCACTATTTAGTTAAAAAAATTATAACACCTTTTAAGTGAATGTAGTGTAGTCTGACAGATTGTATATTATAATGTTTATGTGATTCAATATAATAAAGTCAATAAACTGCTTATGGAACCTGTTTTGGAAGTTTTGCCTTTGGCATTTTAATAATTATGAGTTAAGACTTTATGGTGATTATGAGCACTTCTCATGAGGGTTTGATCCCCAGCACTGCAAAAAAAAAAAAAAAAAAAAGACAAATATACATTTAAATATATTCGATCACTGAAAAACCAAATTATGTACAATCATCATTTAAAAAAATTTGTTTATTTTGGTGTTAGGTATTGGTACTAAAAATGCAGTACACAGTATATACTACTGAGCTACACACCAGACTCTTAAAAATTATTTTTATTTATTTATCTCTTGATACTGGTGATTAAACCCAGAGGTACTTTATCACTGAGCTGCATTCTCAGCCTTAAAAAATATTGTAAAAGTCAAAATGACCACTGTAGTTTGTGATAATGGATAAAACTAAGTGAATGCCTGCATCATGAGGATTTCCGTCAATCACTGACTATTTTAGACAAACAGTGGAACATTCAGATTGTTTCACTTAATGGGAAAAATTTTAAAGTACTATGTAAGTGGGCTTTTTTTTTTTTTTTTTTCTTTCAGTCCTGGGAATAAATCCAGAGCCCTGTATGTGCTAGGCAATAACTTTACCACTGAGCTACATCCCAGCTGTTTGGCTTTTTTTAAAGGATGGAGGGATCCTTTTCTAGGTAAACCTGTAATTTCTCCCCTTTGTAATCTCTAATCCTTAAATTATTATTTGAATGCAAATGAACCCAAGTCTATGGCAGATTTTCTCTCCAAACACTTCAGACATTTCTCATGGCCTTTTGATAGATCTACTCAATTTGTATACAACTCTTCCTATGTTCTCTATCCTGATTATTGGTCTAGGAATCTTCCATGTGGCTCAAATTTAAAACCAAATTCTTACTTCTCCCTTTTGCCCAACCAGATAACTCCAAAATACCTTTCCTATTCATCTTTCTATTCTCACTGCCAGTGCTGAAATGAAGCCACTCTAAATTTTTACATTTTTTTTTTTTTTAGTTGTCAGTGGACCTTTTATTTTATTTATTTATATGTGGTGCTGATAATTGAACCCAATGCCTCACACATGCTAGGCAAGCACTCTGCCACTGAACCACAATCCCAGCCTTCTGTACATTTTATATGCCATTGTATTCTTGACAAAGCCAATATTCCTCAGCTTGGACTTTGTATTAGTTAATGTACAGGTTTGAGCCAGACACTGGAATAAAACTGTAATTCTGGCTCCTGGAGAGTCTTGAGATAGGATTACCAACCTGAGTTATTTAACAGGATCCTGGCTCAAAATTAAAAGGGTTAGGAATGTAGCTCAGTGGTAGAGCTCCCTGTGTTCAGTCCTCAGTACTGCAAATAATAAGCCAGGCAGATGGCACATGCCTGTGATCCCAGTGACTTTGAGAGCAACTTCAGCAATTTAGCGAAGCCCAGTCTCAAAAAGGACTGGGGATGCAGCTCAGTGGTAAAGTACCCCTGGATATTCAATCCTGAGTATCAAAAAATAAAATAGTAATAATAGATATTTGGCTACTATGATAAACTGAAAAAGTAATTGTGACGTTAAAGAATAAAGTTTAGCTGGGCCTATACCTGTAATTCAAGCAGCTCAGGAGACAGGCAACAGGATTGCAAGTTCAAGACCAACCTCAGCAATTTAGAAAGACCCTATCTCAAAATAAATGTATAAAAAGGCTAAGGGTATATGTAACTCAGTGATTAAGCACCCCCTGGGTCCAATACTCTCTTTCCTGTGTAAAAGCACAAGCTGACAGGTGGCTGTGCGACACACAGCTGTCAGCTCCCCCCCCCCTCCCCCCGCCCCCACTCCTGTTTCCTGCTCAGCCCACCTCATCATGCAGACCCAGACTGTGAACCAACATGGCTGATTTACATCCTGCCCTTCACCACAGGCCTAAACTGAAAAATCAAGTCTATTGTGCTAGGGGATAAGTCCTTGCAAGTGGTAATAGTGTTGCGGGAATCAGGCAAGAAGCTGCCAAGGACACTTAAAAAGAGTGACAGACAGAAACCAAAAGTTTATTTTACTCTGGCGGCCCAGAGAGATCAGCACTCCAGATTCTGAGCACTCCTTACCAGTTTTTCACAACATTTATAGGCTATCTAATGTCATAAATTTTCTAGTCTAAAACGATACATGGTTGTGCACAAGGGTTCAAAAAAGATACATGATTGTGTGAAAGAGGTTTCTGGCAGAAGCCTTTTACAGAAGCAGAGTGGGATAAGGGAGACTGGCTCCTCCTCCCCCTCCTTCACAGGGGCATTTACACTCAAAGGAAAGTAGTTAGATCCTAGGGAAAGTCTTTTACAATCCAAAAGGTAGAGTGAATGGTACTAATTAGGTTCTCCTGAAAACCAGCTAACTGAAAAGTGGAGAACTCTCTCTTTCCCAGGCACTAACTTTCACAGTGTCCTTATTTTTTATCCAGGCCTGGGTTAGTTACACACTACAATGGGAGCTGAACTTTATGTCCTAGCTTATTTTTTTTTTAACTTAGTTTTATGGACTGGGGTTGTAGCTCAGTGGTAGAGCACTTGCCTAGCACATGGGAGGCACTGGGTTCTAATTTCCAGCACCGCATAAAAATAAATAAATAAAATAAAGGTACTGTGTCCATCTACAAGTAAAATAAATAAATAAATATATATATACATATA